CATTTATCACTATATTAGGAGAATATTTCCATATCAACAGACACCTGTTTACATACACATTTTTAATGCTACATGGTATTCCATTGATAAATGTATTATACAGAGTTTGGCCCATCCCTTCTTCTTAGGCATCTAAGTTGCTTCCTTTAGGTTTTCTCCTCCTCTGCATTATCTTGGGTATCACTACTGTTCTGAGAATTTATTTTAGTGCAACAACATGGATGCAGATAGAAGAAACATATCTCAGGAATTTTCTTAAGAGGATTTCTACTGTCAAGAAGGATGTCACGAAAAGACAAAAGTTAATAAAGACCAAATGCAACTATGAAATTTGGAGTCACAGAGTCCAGGATTTGCATCTGTCTTCTGTCACTAGCTATGAAGCCTCAGATGAGTTATTTAGCCTAACTCTTCATTTTGTCATATGTAAGACAGGGAGACATTTCAAATTTTTATTTTAATTGCTAGTTAGTTTTAACAGATTGGATGTGATTTCTAGATACAGTTCTAAGGACATAATGATATCCACTTCCTCCTCTGACTTTTCTTCCTTTTCTGTTTCTTGCACCTTTTTAAAGTTTTTGAGCTAATGCACTTTAAATTTATTTTACAGTGAAAAGCCTTAGTAGTTCACTGAATAATATGATTAACAAGTCAAAAGCAAAAGATCTTGGCTTGGTGGGAATACAGACAACAACCATAAACAATAATTGAATAGAATGCCCATTTTACACTCATACAGTAACTTTTAAAGTATTATCAAGTTATTAAAGCTATATAGTATAGCATTCTTTTTTTTTTAAATATTTTTTCACTGGAAAGGCGGATATACAGAGAGGAGAGACAGAGAGGAAGATTTTCCGTCCGATGATTCACTCCCCAAGTGAGCACAACGGCCGATACTATGCCAATCCGAAGCCAGGAGCCTCTTCTGGGTCTCCCACGCGGGTGCAGGGTCCCAAAGCCTTGGGCTGTCTTCAACTGCTTTCCCGGGCCACAGGCAGGGAGCTGGAAGGGAAGAGGGGCTGCCGGGATAGAACCGGCGCCCATATGGGATCCTGGGCGTGCAAGACGAGGGCCTTAACCACTTGCGCCACCGCGCCGGGCCCTAGTATAACATTCTTAACCTTTGTTTTAGGAAAGTATAAAACATTTTATAAAAGTATATTTCCACACATACTGATGCACATAGATGTTTCTTTTTCATTGTTTATTTTTAAAATTTTAGCTCCCACACATAAGGGAGAACATGCAGGATTTGTCTTTCTCGGTCTAGCTTAGCTTATTTCACTTAATAGGATATGTTCCGGTCGAGTTAAGAGAGGCATTCTGTGCAGCCAATAGCATGCTGCTTTGGACACAGGCATCACAGGGCCTGGGGTTTGAGTCTCGCTTCCTCTCCTGATTCCAGCTTCCCAATAACACAGACCTTGGGAGGCAGTAGCAATGGCTCCATTATTTGGGTCTCGACCTCCTTAATGGGAGACCCGGATTGGGTTCTGGGCTCCTAGCTTTGGCATGCCCAGTCCCAGCTACTGTGGTCATATGCAGAGTGATTCACTGGCTAGATGATGTCTTTCTACCTCTGTCTGTCTTCCTTTTGTCTGTCTCAATGCCTTACAAATATATATATATATAAATCATTTCCTAGAATTATCAGGATGTTAAGCTGTATCATAGGTAAAGCATCTAGCACAGACTCTGATACAATAGTGGATGCCTTAGTCAGCCCTCCCTTAACATACAGAACACTGAGAAAAATGTCGTTTTTCAAAAATGCCACTTTTTAAAAAGTCTTTTAAAAAGTGGTGAGAAAGCTTAGATATGAGCAGAATGGTTACAGTTGTCAGCAACATTCTGTGACCAGAATGCTTTGTATTAGTTTCTGAGGAACACTGATCAATGGGATCCCTGTGTGGCTTTAAAGTCACATTGTGGTCTAAATAACATATTTCTGATAGTGGATAAGAAAAGGAACACCAAGGCCTTGGCCTTGCCTTTATGCACTTCATAAAGTATTTAATATCGCCGGCGGATACACATTCTTGTCACTACAAAACAAGTTTGGCTCTGGGAAAATGATTATTGTGCAACTTTGATGATAGCCGTAATCTCCCAGAATGGACACACTGTCCTGGTGACTGGGATTAATTTCTGACGGTCCCAAATGTAGCTCCAAGATTCTTTATGAAAAGTTTGCTTTGATCTCCAAACCCTGTGGAATAGAACAATTAAACAGCATTCACATGAAAAGACATAATGGGGGAAAGGGTAGCAGAGAGCAAGGTGTTGGGTAGCATCAGAAGCAGGGTGACTGGCTGCACAAAGTCTACAGATCATTAATTTTAGGCAGATTTTCAAATAAGGAATGGTACATGCTCTGCAAATAGCAGCTGCTCCCATAAGCCAATATTTACATGGATCCCGTGGCAAGGTCTATTGAGCATCAACCTTTCCAGCCCAATTCATACACTTTACAGCACTTTCAGCCATGCATCTTGAAAAGGAAGGAACACATTATACATACATGGACAACTGCCAGCATGCAAATATGTTCTGGTCCTCAAATCAATTCCTAACTTTTTTTTATTGGTGGAACTTGGAAGTCATGCTCCTACAGAACAGGTTTTTAACAGGTTTTTAACATGGGCTGTGGGTTTTCCAAATGTCTTCAAAAGGTTGTATTGAACTCACAAAGTAAGTGAAACAATGCATATTGCAAGGACAAATACAGGGCATTGAAGGACTTACACAAGCAAGAGCACATCAGCGCATAGCAAATAGCTCTTCAGCATCTCTCCCTTTTTTTTGAGAGTTATTTTATTACCGTTACTTGAAGTCAGAAAGAGAAGAAGAGAGGGGGAGAAAGAGAGAGACAGAGACAGTCTTCCATCTAAATGGCCACAATGGCCAAACTGGGCCAATTCAGAATGTGTGTCTCCCATGTGGATGCAGGGCCAAACTCCTCTACCTTCCCAGGCCTTCAGCAGGGAGCTGGGTCAGGAGTGAAGTAACTGGGACTCAAATTGGTGCCCAAATGGGATGCTGCTGTCTACAGGTGGAATATTAACCTACGCTGCTAAGGTGCTGGCCCCAGCCTCTTTCCTTCGAAATCCAGCTATCTTCTTAGCTATAGTTTTGTGAAAAGGAAATCCTCCACCATCATTGCCTGTGTGCAAGGGGCCTTGTCAAGCCAGGGGGGGTGCTACTTGTATCACTGCATCCTGGTGTTTAACCAAAGAACCCTTAATGATTGCAGCTATGGGAAAGGGGTAGAGTGTCTAAGTGGAAGTCTTAAGACACTTCAAATTTCATTCTTGAGTATATCTAAACACTTTAAACAAAAACCACATTTCAAATGACCCATAAAGTTAATTCTGCCCCCACATTTCGATTGACATTGACACTTAAAAAACACGAGGCACTTTTATAACTGAGATATGCTATGTCTTACGGTTAGAACACATATGTATGTCAGAATGAGTAACACGGGCACTGGCTGGGGAAATGTACAGCCCCAAATCAAAGCTGGAGCTGCCAGCTTCTCCTTTCCCCTTTCATTAGCACCAGCTTAATGTCTTTTCCCTCTTTTTCTTGGGACAGGATCTCACACTCATTCACACTAATTTGTAAATGACCAACACCAGCTTAAAAAGAAAAAAAAAAGTCATATGGTTTGTGTACATAGAGGATCTTAGGCTTGAAAACAAAAAGAAATTGGGCCACTACTCCCCAAGAAAAAGGAGCAATTGTGTGCTATTTGCAGAAATCACACCTCATTTCAGATTGGCAATTGAAGGAGAAATGCCGAGGAAAATTAGTCATGACTTCTTTTCACTTGGGAAAGTGCTGCCTTCATTTTTGGCAGCTGTGGTCTTTGTGCTTGTTGCTTGGTTTACTGTTTTCTCTTGGCCCTAATGACAGAAAATTAAAGGCCAGGATGCAAACCCAATCGAAATAAATGGTGCGGAGGGGGGAAGGGGGATAAAAGCAATAATACTATTTTACGGTTAACGTTTGTATACTGTGGCATCCTATAGAAGAATTTTTTACATCTGTGATTACGTATGCAACTGGAGCTGAAGTACCGACAGATAATAACGGAGATGCAAACAGAAAGCGAATCGAAAAAAAATCACATTCAGTTAATAATGTCAGGTACCTACCATGTGTTGCCCCAGGTTCTGTGGGGGACCTTGACCTTGTCTCTCAGGAGTTTTAAGATTCAGCGGTAAAATCAAAATAAGGGCTCATGCCCGGTGGCCGTCTGGCGGGTTGAAATACGGAAAACCCCCTAGGGAGGTTTCCCTTGTCAGTGAAGGTTGGCAGTCAGAATAGTCAAAGAGAGCATCCCCAGCACAGTTTGGAAAGGTGGGAACAGCACAACTAGTGCTACTCGTTTAGAGACCTGGGACTGGTCAATCCCCGGAAAGGGTCTGGGCTTTGCAAATGGGTGGGGGTGGGTGGAGAAAGCCTTTGGCTGAACAGTTACACGCCCAGAAAAAAGTTCTTTGTGCAAGAGGGGAGGGCGTCCCGAGGTACAAAGAGCAGATGTGTGTAAGAGAAAGTGGATTCCGCTTGCACACGTTTGTGAGGGGAGCTCCGTTTCAGTGTGGGGGCGTGTGGCAAGGGAGGTTTTCGGGGGACGCCAGCTGCAGGTTCCCGCTTCCACCCAGTCCGCGCCTCCCGCGAAAGGCAACAGTTGGTTGTGTGGGGCCGGCCCGGGCTCTGGGTGGGGAGGGGGAGTCTCGCGATCGTTGAGGGGGGGGTGGGGGAAAAGGGGGAGGGTTGGGGGGGAGGCCATGACGTAGGGTGGGTGGACGGAAGTGGGGCAGGGTTGAGGGTTATTTAAAGAAGGGGGGCCGCGCGAAGGGGTTGGAAGCAGAGTGATTCCCCACCCTTGCTCCATCTAGCTCTTTCCCGAGCCGCCGCCGCCGCCGCCGCCGCCCAGGAGCCCTCATCCCCTTCCTCGACCCCTCCGTCGTTCCCGCTCCAACGCCATGGAGCCGGACGCCGCAGCAGAGGCAGCCACCGTGGCAGCCGTGGATACGACCGCCACCGTCGTGATCGTGGAAGAGGACGAGCAGCCGGGGCCGTCCACCTTTGAGGAGGGAGCCGCCGCCGCCGCTGCCGCTGGCGCTTCCACCGAAGCCACCGAAGCCACCGCCGCCACCGAGAAGGGCGAGAAGAAGAAGGAGGTAAATAGAAAGGGGGTGTGTGTCTGCGTGCGCGCGCGCGCCCTCCTGTGCGGCCGTGTGCGGGGCCCCTCGGAGGGGCCCAAGCCCTGACCTTTGGGCGCCGACAGGTACCGGCGGAGGTGGCCGGCGTTGGGGGCAGCTGGCTGGCGCGGGGCGGCGGCGGCTCATCGCCTGCGCTCCCCTCCCCCTTCCCTGTTCGCCGCCGGCGGCCGGGGGCGGGGCTGGCGCGCGGGCGGGCGGGCTCGGGGCGCTGGGGTGCGCCTTTATCCCGGGGCTGCAGAGGGGGCTTGGAACCCCCTGGAATACCACCCCCCCGACTCCCGACTCGCTGCACCCTCCCGGAACCGGGGTAACGGGATGCGGGATGGCGCCGTGCGGTGGAAAAAAAGCCTCTGCCTCTCCTTCGTTCGTTTGCTCGCTCGCTTTCTCGCTCTTGCTCTTTCGCTCCCCGCCCCCCCCCCTTCCCGTCGGCCTCTGCCTGGGAAATCTGGGCCCTTCAATCCCACACTCTAGCTAAAGGGGTTTGGCTGGGGGCTTATTTTTGCAATTGCAATTTCAAGGTGTTAGCGCTGGAGGGATGAAGGATGAGAGGGAAAACATTTATTTTTGGGATTGATAATATCGGGCTTTTGGATGGCAGAAAGAAAAAAAAATCATCCCTTGTTCTTCTGCTCCACGCCTGCTGAGGTGGGGTGTCACTTCCAGAAAACGAGCTCTCCTCGTGGTACCCTCCTCCCATCCCAAAAGCCAAATTGAGGAACCATGAACTCTGGTTTAGGAAAATTTTCGACGTCTGCACCCGTACCTTTGCCTGCCCCGCCCCCCCGACGGTATAGTGTTTCACTTCAGGGCCACCCAGATGGTCCCCCAATCCGGCCCCAAGCTTTCCAAGCTTCCGCCTCCCTGTCCTAATAGGCGCAGCTCGCTCCTGGCTCGTGGACACGCGCAGGTTGTGTGTGTGTGTGTGTGTGTGTGTGCACGCGCGCGCGCGCACACGCATTCTTGTGTGTCTGTGTGCGCGCGTAATTATTTTTTAAAAAATCTAGCTTTGCGGAGATGAGTGGCTAGTAATACCAGTCGATTTCGTATCTATGAAAGTCAAATCCACAAAATACATATTAATCGCATAAAGCATATTTCACATTGAGGCATGCAAATAAAAGTATGAAATGCTTTCAAAAATTGAGATAAAAATAGCATTGGGTGTAAGGAGCTGCCATGTATATAACCAGCTAGGAGAATGGATGGTTCATGGCTAGAGCCTCCCCTTACCAGCAGCCATATAGCAATTAAAACCTGTGGATAATTAAAATTATGCTTTAGAGATCTCAAGTGGCTTTGTCTGTATCACTGTACGATCCTGTACAACCAAATGGAAAGCTTTGGGGGGAAATGAACACCTTTTCCCTTGTGTTAGAAGGTAATTTTAAATTCAGCCCTTGCTTAAGTGAGATATTGAAGGTTCCAGGGTTGATTAACTAGAAAAACAATTGTGATGCTAAGTGAAAGCCCCTCAAAATGCATTTTAAGCTCTACACAATCCTTTGGTCAGCAGGGTGGTATTGACGATGAAAGTTGGGTTGGTACAAATGTTCAAAAATTCAGACTTATGTCCAGGTGTCATTTATTCCATAGCCTGGACAATGTAACTGCTAAACTATTATTATTATTTTTTTTTTTAGTGTCACTCTATAGGTTGCTGAGTTTTCAGGTTGTACAGTTTTTGAACTACGAAACAACTGGAGGAGGGGTCAGTTATAAAACTTACGTAAGCTCTGAGCTTATAGGTTATAGCTTATAGGTTCAAGAACTTTGTAGTCTCAGCACAGATTACCCTAATGGTGCTTCATTAGTCTGCACAGGTTGGGGAAGTGAAGTATAACCTGGCAGGAACCTCCTGGGTGTAAAAGTGTAGTAGAGTTGCTGCTTTGTTTTGCTCAAAATCTTCACTGTGGTGCCCACTACCTTGGCTTAAGTTGTGTACTAACAGAGATGAACCTTTCCTTCATTGTACAGCAGTTGTATTCTGACTGTGGATACCAAGGCTGTTGCTTCCCTTTAGTTCAATAACCACTAACCACTTTCCAGATCTTTCCAGGATTGTGCTGATTTTTTTTTTTTTTTTGGTGTGCTTCTGTCTTACGCCTCAGTTGCCATGCTGTTAACAATTATATTTTTAACAAAGATTTATTTTATTTGAATGTCAGAGTTACAGATAGGGAAGCAGAGACAGAGAGATAATGAAGAAAGAGAGACATTTCTTCTGATGACTCAGTCCCCAAATGGCCATAACAGTTGGAGTTGGGCCAGGCTGAAGCCAGAAGTTAGGGGCCTCTTCTGGGTCTCCTACATGAGTGCAGGGTCCAAGCACTTGGGCCGTCTTGTGCTGCTTCTCCCATTCTCGTGCCATTAGCAGGAGCTGGTACAGAAGTGGAGCAGCCAGGGCTTGAACTGACACCCAAATGGGATTGCACATGGCAGTTTTATCCGATATCCCGAGATGCCAACTCCTTCCTATCACTTTTTATGCACTGCTTCTACTTCATCAGAAAGAATTTAATTTATATACATGTGAGAGAACCATAAAACCAATTATAAAATCAACTGTAAAATGCAAAGTAGTGATACAGCAGGAAGAAGGAAATAATTACACCTGAACACTAAGGGTTATTCTTGCTCCTGCAGTGAAACACATGTTTTGGTACTGGGCTCCTGCCGTGTCTTCTTGCTGTCTCCAGTGAACTTGCCTTTCCCATGTCATTTGTTGCTGTTTTTAGTCTCTGTAGTATGGGAAGCCACATTATCAAACTTGCTGGAATTGTGTCTCAAATAAAAGAAAGCAGGCTTTTGGATAAGAGCATTTTCTCTTTCATTTAAAGAAATTAATTTATTAATTTGAAAGACAAAGAAATAGAAGAGAGCAATCACGTGTCTGTTGATTCCCTCCCTAAAGGGCTGTAACAACAGGGTTGGATGAGGCAGAAGTCCGGAGAGACTGGAACTCCATCTGGTTCTTCCACATGGGTGCAGGGGCCCAAGGACTTGGGTCATGTTTTGCTGCTTTCCCAGATGCATTAGCAGGCAGCTGGATCAGAAGTACAGCTGCTGGGACTAGAACCAGCACTTACATGGGGTGCTGGTGCCACAGGTGGCAGTTTGACCCACTCCACCAAGATGAGTGAAGTAGATGGGATTAGGTGAATTGACTTGTGACATTTATGACTGCTATGCTCAGGCATTTGTGCTTATCTCCTGTTCTTGGGCTTGGTTTAAGTGACAGTTGGTTTTGCCAATGAAGACGTCAAACTAAAGGTCAGGGCTCTTAACACAAGAGTTTTTGATGGTCTTGTGCTGCATTTTTATGGTATCTGGACTACCAAATGATAACATCTATAAACAATCATTACGTTATCTTGGCTCCTTTTATCTTTTCTTGTATGAGAAATATTTTGGAAAATATAAATGTACACACAAATATCTGTGCATATGGATATATGTGTGTGTGTGCGTGTAGATCTGGATATGTACGTGTATGTAAACAGGTGTACATGTGTGTAAATGGGTGTATGTGGATATGTGTATATATACATGAATTTGTATGTATTTGTATATATACATATATAAATGAGAAGGTAAAGAAGATAGGCATTTTACAATTTGTTGTGGGAGATAGTGCCAATTAAATTACCCATAGCTTTTAATAGCACTATTCAAGAGTAGGGATTTTTATTAGTATGTAATTAAATTCTTATTATATCCTAACTGCAAAGTAAGCAAAAAAGTAATGCATAAAATGTTTTCTCTAAAACTAAAGGTTCTATTTTTTGTAAGTGAGGTTTACTTCCCACAGTTAGCTCTATAGCTGTGTAAATGAGGTGAAGGGATTTTCACTGCCATCAAGTTGAAAATTTAGACCTCATATCACTTTTTGAAAAATGATAAAGGTTTAGACTTTGATACCTAGTTTTCCTTGTTAGTATGAATGAAAGAGGATTTATAGTATACATGGCTATTTGAAAGTGTGGGTTTGGGGGGACCTTCAGCAGTTGTTCATTCCCAGCACCTCAGGATTATATCAAAATATTTCACATGATTGATCTATAATCCATATGAGATATTATAAATCAGGATGATGACTTGGCTTAGAGAAACTGAAAGATGCATGAGCAGCAGGCCAAAGACAGACTTTGACCAGGGTTAAGTTCTATAATCTTAGTTTGGATTACCTCAAAATAGAGATTTTAGTAAATATTGGAAGATTTATTTATTAACTGTTGGATGCCTATTTTTAATGTTTAAAGTCATGATGTATTGTTGATTTGTAACCTGTTTTCAGATTCATTGACAAAGCCATGATAAAATTGACAGCTTCTATAGTTTTCACAAAGATTTGTGTTGAAAAACTCTGGAATTTTCTCTTAATTGGGAGAGTATATGTTTTCATTTTGTTTCTTGATTTCTAAGAGAAAAAAATTTGTTTGCTGTTCATGTCTGCAAATGTAAGCAGTTCTTTACAGATGATAGAATCATGAGATAACCTATCACACAACTTCACTATTTTAAGTTGCTGATTGATTTTCTTTCTCATTAAATTACACATTTTAAAGTATTGGAAATTAATGATTAATAGTCCTGATAAGCTGCCTTTACAAAGCACTAAAATAGTTTAAAGTACTTTCCTTTCCAGTTATAGAAAATGAACATGTCAAATATTTGAAATCATATTATTAAATTATTTTAAATATATATGGTCACAGTGTATTACATAAAACATTTAAATATTCTAAGTGAACTATGAAAACAAATTTTGAAAAGTGTCTTTTTAGGGGCAGAAGCCACAGCTGTTTCTTCTGAAAGTCTGGCTTGTTTCTGTTACATAAAGAAGTGTTTCTGAGAATTAATATTTACTTTCTTTGAATTCTTTGGTTTGTGGTTGATAATATTAGCCTGTTTTAGATTTTTAAGTCCTTAGTTAATGGTTACATGTTTTCTTATGTTTTAAATTAAAAAAATAGATGAGAAGGTTCAGTGTTTTGGCTTTTGGTTTTATTTAATATCATTAGTCTGGCTTTCCTGATTTTTTTTTTTTTTTTAGATTTTTTTTAGTTGGATCTCAGGTGTACAGAACTGCATTAATTGTACACCTTAATTCATAAATGTTGTCATCATTGGTCTATGCATGTCCTACATTTACTTATTTGTACTTTCTGAAAATGAGAACATTGACTAATTTTAAGACCTTGCCTTGCAATTTGATGACATTTATTTCTTTGACATTCTAGAAAAACATTTCTCCTTTCCAACTCAAGCTTGGCATGAAAGCTAAGTCTGAGAAAGAAATGGACCCAGAGTATGAAGAGAAAATGGTAAATATACTCTTGGATAAAATGGGGAATATGTAGTTAAATTTATAGAGGTGATGGAAAAGAAAGAAGTATGCATGTTTGTGTATAATACATTAGCAAGTCCGAGTTTTGAAACTGAAAATAAATTTGCTGTATAATCCATCATGTGTTTTGTTGAATAAATTCATCTCACTCTTCAGACGAGTAAGTTAAGGATCTGAGAAACTGCATTGGAATATTGGTATTAGAAACTGTATGTTCTAATTTTTGTTCAGTGTTCTTTACCTCATAATAAAATGCATTATTATGGTTTGAGTATTTTCTTTCTGTAATTAAAATGATTTTATTTATTGGTGCCAGCATGGTGGCTTACGAGGTAAAATACCACGTGTGATATTGGCATCCCGTACGGGCATGCTTTGGAGTTCTGGCTGCTCTGCTTTCAATCCTGCTCCCTGTTAATGCACCCGGGAAAGCAGCAGAAGGTGGCTTAAATGCCTGGGCCTCTGCCTCACATGTGGGAGACCAGGCTTTGGCCCGGGCCAACCCTGGCCATTGCGGCCTTGTAGGAAGTGAAACAGCTGATGGAAGATCTCTCTCTCTCCCTCTCTCTTTCTGTAACTCTGCTTTTCAAATAAATTTTTTTTATTTGAAAGATTTATAGAGATAAAGAGGGAGATACATAGTGAGAGGCCCAAGAACTTGGGTCATCTTAGCTGCTTTACCAGGTTCATTAGCAGGGAGCTGAATTTGAAATGGGGCAGCTGTGACTCCAGCTGGTGCCTGTATGGGATGCTGATGTTATAGGCAACAGCTAAACTTGCTGTGCCACAATGCCAGCTCTATCCAGAATATTTTATACTTTAAATAATTGTGGCACTATCATTGTGGCTTTGTGACCTGAGAAATCCAGTCCAAAATCCAGACTGATTTTTTTTCTTTTTCCTTCTTGCTTTGGAAAAATGAGGGTATCTCAAAAAGTTCATGGAAAACACAATTGGAAGATTGTTTGAATGTAAAACATTCTTGAAATCTATGCATAGCTTTTTCTTCATAGTACTCAATTTTCAGGAACTGTTTGAAAACTGTAAGTGAATGCTACACACTATGGAAGCATGCAATATGATAAGTGAGGGAGTACATTTTATCTTCATTATCCTGTTAAATTACTTCACTATACATTTAATTATTTAATTTTTATCACTAAACTCAGTACTTTGCTTTAGTTTTAACTGAACTTTTATGCCTTTGGATCTTTGAAGAAGTTGAAACTCTTTTTCCTCCCTAAGGGAGTGTTTTTGCAGTAGTAGTGTAAGTGGAGCTGAGTACACTTTCCCGTTGTTCATAGCTGTTTTACGAGACTCTGTGTCATAAGGTTTAAGGGCGCATCTAACATAGACAGTTACTGTTTTAACAACTCTAAAAACAACATTCCAGTGAGGATAACATAAAATGGAAAGTTTCTGGCCTCCTTCCAGCTAACGGTCTGAATATATTTGTCTAACTCTTGGATTTATGTTAATGAACTCTTCTGGAAGTTTCTGGTGTTATTAATTATGCATCCATCCTGAGGAATCCAAGTAGTTTTTGCCCTGTGGTTAGAAAGTGACTGAAAGATCCTTGTTTTTCTTTTATGTAGAATGATGTGCATACCTTTAAAGCATTTTTAACTGAAAAAGATTTTGGCTGTATTTGTTTGGTGTAAGTTATGTGGTGCTTGACAGCTTATTGTAAAATGAGATTGTATGTTAACCTTTAGTAGTTAATATATAAAGTCAGATTTACAGAGAAGGAGAGACAGAGAGAAAAATCTTCCATCTACCGGGTCATTCCCCTAGTAGCCACAATGGCTGGAACTGAGCCAATCCGAAGCCAGGGGCTTCTTCTGGGTCTCCCAGGAGGGTGCAGAGTCCCAAGGACTTGGACTGTCCTCAACTGCTTTCCCAGGCCATAAGCAGGGAGCTGGATGGGAAGTGAAGCTGCCGGGATTAGAACTGGCACCCATATGGGATCCTGGCAACACAAGACAAGGACTTTAGCCACTAGGCTACTGTGCTGGGCTCAGTGTTTATTATGTTACTTACCATATTAAAGAGATTACACTAAATGCTTTCAGTTATTTCTAGATTGAACTTAAATAAAGTCATAGTAATTTCAAAATTGGGGAGTATATTATGTTTGATGTTTAATTTTGTTACTGTTTAGGAAAAGGAAAGCAAATCATGTTTTTGGAAAAATTGTTTGCCTATGGATCTTTAAGAAGAAAAGTACTTCTTGTCGGGACATTAAGTCTGTCAGATAATTTTGTTTCTATTTAAACTATTTGAAAATCTTTGAATTCTGCTACCTAATAGTGTTGGAGCTTTGGGCAAAATTTTTGTTGGCTTCTCAGCGCCGTTGCATTATCATCTGTGAAATGAGAGTTAAGCTAGTAACTACATCCTAGGTTTCTTAAGAGAATTCAACAGGTTAGTATATTCCAAAGTGCTTAGAGCATGGTACGAAGTAAGCATAGTATGTATGTTAAACAACATTGAACAAAAAAGGAAAACCGGTACTTTTTCTTTTGTTTTGCAAATTAGAAAGCAGACAGAGCAAAGAGATTTGAATTTTTACTGAAGCAGACAGAACTTTTTGCACACTTCATTCAACCATCAGCGCAGAAATCTCCAACATCTCCTCTGAACATGAAATTGGGACGCCCTCGAATAAAGAAAGATGAGAAGCAGAATTTAATTTCCGCTGGAGAGTATGTTGGCATCTCTCTCTGCTTCTTCCTCCTGCCCTCTCCCTTCCTTCATTCTCTCCTTTCCTTTTCACATATTATGCATTGTTTTGTATGAAAACAATTAGTTTAATTGCTATTGTACATATGTTGTGTATATATGTGTATATATATATATATTTTTTTTTTCCCCCATACCAGAGGTCAATCAGTAAAACTGCAGGCGGGCTCTGATCAATCCTTTCTTTTTTAAAGCATATTTTCTTTTGGAGGGGGAGGGTTGTTTTTAAAGATTTATTCATTTGAAAGGTAGAGTTATGGAGAGAGGGAGAGAGAGAGAGAGATACCTTTCATCCATTGGTTCATTTCCCAAAACACAGAGGCTGATCCAGCCTGAATCCAGGAGTCCAACCTTACAACCTGCTCTCTCACATGGAGTTTGGCATCTTCCACTGCTTTTGCAGGGGCTTCAGTAGGGAACTGGACCAGAAGCAGAGCAGCAGATAGGTGAACCAGTGCTCACATGGTATGCCAGCATAGCAGACAGTGGCTTAACATACTGTACCACAGCACTGGCCCTGGTTCTGCCCAGTTCTGCAATTCTTAACCAGACCCTCTGTGTTTTATAGTAACAGTGTCAACGGGTGCAACCTGTAGCACTGTGTTCATGGTGAAGAGGAACGTGTTTCCTTTATTATTCCAGTTATCGCCACAGGCGGACGGAACAAGAAGAGGATGAAGAGCTCCTGTCAGAGAGCCGGAAAACATCGCATGTGTGTGTGAGGTTCGAGGTGTCCCCTTCCTGTAAGTCCTCAGCCCCCTACTGATATCCTTTACGGTTTGATTTTGGGGGAAAAACAAAAGTGGACTTGAGTGTGTTCACGCAAACAAGAGACACGCTTGATCTCTTTCATCAGATGTGAAAGGAGGACCGCTGAGAGATTATCAGATTCGAGGACTCAACTGGCTGATCTCGCTGTATGAAAATGGAGTCAATGGCATTTTGGCAGATGAAATGGTAAGGAGTGGGTAGCTAAGAGCACTAGGTCAGTTCTCAGTGCTTTTTGGTGTACATTTAAAACACCTGAGCCTTCCTGACCCTTTCTTGGTGTCTATAGGCTTTCTTTGGTTCTTAGTGTAACAAGGTAATTGTATAAAGTCTACGGTTTCTTTAAGTACAAGATGAACTTTTCAAGGTTGGAAATTGCAGTTAGGATTTCCTTTGGTGGTACAAAAAACCTTGTAGTTTTATGTTCTTTCTGTTGACCTTCTGCCTTCCAGCAACCTCCGAGTCCAGTTGCATGTTAAACTGGAGCATCTGTGTAACCATTAATGGAATGCTCTTTGCTGTCTCTTCCTATTCTTTACCTCCTATTCTTTCCTTACTGCTTCTTTACTTCTGTTTTACCATTAAATTGTGTTCCATGTTTTCTTTGTAGGCCACCTGAAACATGTTTTCATTGTAGGCTACCTGCCATCCTTTTGGGAATGAGGTGGGGTATATAAGTCAGACAAGGAGTGAATGAACGAATATATGCATGAATAACAATATCTCAATTTGTGAATAATGAAAAAGTGAATAGATGGGATACGTGACAATAAAAAAGGCACTGTTGAGTCTTGATGCAGTGGCATATCAAGAAGGAGAAACAAGGGCATATGAGATAAGAATTTAGCACATGGGGTAATATAGCAGGTCCTAGGCTTGTATTTTAAGCTCAGTTAATAAAATACAAGTTGGGAGGGCAGAGATTTTAGTTCCGTGAAGCCCAGGGGTATTCATTTGTATGACTTGAAAACCATGACTCTTATTCTGAGGCACCAACTAGAATATGTGCCCTCTGGCATCTGGTGCGGTAGTTTCATGGATACTCATTTTGGGTTGAGCATCAGTTAGATATGTGGTAGAGGATCCTTTAAATTGGGGGCTGGGAACCTTTTTTTCTGCCAAGGATCATTTGGATATTTAATAACATCATGTACCATTTTCAACTTAAAAATTAGCCTGCTGTAGATTTATTGAATTTTGAGTCCTGCCTGCTGTTGCTTTGTCAGGCCCAGAGCAGATGATTTCCAGGGCCTTAGATGGCCTGCAGGCCTGATAGTCCCTGTTTTAAATCAAGGTTTTGTAACTTCTTTTATTCGCTAGGGATTCTCCAAAAGTTCATGGAAAATGCATATATTGTGGAAAATCTATACATTGATTTTGAAATTTTTGCTCCAAGACGAGCTTATTTTAAAAAATTCCACTTTTTTTTAGGCACCCTTGCATATGTTCTGGGTTGAGGACTGTGGACAGCTCAGCACTGGGGCGGGTGTGGAGGGGGGGGAAGGAGGAACTTGGCTAACTAGGCAATTGGAAGACAAGGATTATTTACCCACACATCTGTTGGCTGGTGCTTGTCTAAGCATGATGAATCCATGTTGAGTTTATGCTAGTACCAGATATATTTTAATTACTGAAATAAAGATAGACAGTTGAAGGAGTAAAGAAAATTTTGGGAGAAAAATTAAAGTACAATTCTGTTGCATAGACATATCCACAGTTAACATTTTGACATATTTATTTCTTTTTAGTATTTTTCTTTTGATTGTATTTATTTTGCTTTGTTAGAATTATATTCTACATCTACTCTGGTAGTATAATTTATTTATTTATGTATATTTTTCATGTATTTAAAGCACTTTGTAAAAATAATTGTTAATTACTACCTAATGATCCTAGGTAGGTGCTGTAATTTGATTCTGTTCCTTTCTTATTGCTGTTCTTTTGGCTTCCCTGGGGTATAGTACTAATAATGGTGTTATGAGAAGCTTGTAATTCAATTTTTCTATATCACTCAGATTTTTTTACCCATAGGATTCCTAAAAGTGGAATTACTGGGTTAGAGATTATAGACATTCTAAGTTTTTGAAACTCTATAAAAATATTTTAAGATTAGGTTTATAAAAGGAAATGTATATCTTGCTTAGAGATAAAGGCTGCAAGGTTAGACACCATAGCCCCTTGAGATGTATAGTCTGAATGTTCAGTATCTGGATTGTAATAATTTCAGGTACAATAAGAAAAGAAGACCAGTATCTAAACAGGTTGGCAGAGGGAGTATTCCTTTATGGAATGAAAGGACACGTGATGCCTAATTTTGCCAAAAGTAGAAAAAAATTATTTGGATAATTTTGCTGTGTTTGGAATTTTAAAAAGTCTTAAATAGAAAGCTGCTTTATTGAATAACATCTTAAAATTCTTGTTTTCTTTTTGTGCTCAGAGTAAGTACTGAATTTGGAATGCTTTTCTTAAAAAGCCTTTGTGCACTTTTCATTGATAGAAATATAGTCTACTGTTTGAGTATATAACTGACAAATATCTATTACATTGTTGTTAACGAAACTACCTTGTGAAAGAACATTTATGCATTTTTCCCTTTATGATGATAATGCAGGGTCTTGGTAAGACTTTACAAACCATTGCTTTGCTTGGTTACCTGAAACACTACCGAAACCTGCCTGGACCTCACATGGTTTTAGTTCCAAAGTCTACTTTACATAACTGGATGAATGAATTTAAACGATGGGTTCCATCGCTGCGTGTTATTTGTTTCGTTGGCGACAAGGATGCAAGAGTAAGTGCCAATCATGTTTAAAAAGGCAGAAAAGAATAATGTCATTTTTGGAGTTAAGTTACACATGATTGCTGTTAAAGATGTTGAAGTTGATTACTGTCAGTGAATCATAGTTAATTTGTGCCAATTCTGACCCATTTGGCTGTTTTAGATGCTTTGCATGTGCTAATTTAACCCTTAGAACACTCTTATGTGGAATATTCTTATCTTACTAATTTAGCAACAATACATTATTATGTCTCATCTGTGTTTACTTTTAACTTGCTAGCCTTAACATTTTTGAATTGTACTTTCAAATAACTTTATTAAAAAACTTTATTTTATTGACAGTATGCCTTAGCATTCCCTCTATTTCGAAGCTAAAAATGTATACCGATTCATTGCTTAAATTTTTTATTTAACATTTTGGTTTTTGACTTGGTTTATACCTGCTCATTCACATCAAATGGAACCTGCTGTGTATGTGCAAAGAGCCTTGTGTTTTGTGTTTATACATAAACATGTCTTTCAGTTTGCCCTTTGAACAGAAAAATACATGTCTCTGTATCTTCTTAAATTGTATTATAAATCTTGGTTATTTTGGGGGAGTTAATTTTGGACTGTGAAATTTTGCAAATATTCTAAAATGAATAATCAGTTTAGAAAGCTTGTTTTGCCTCCAAAGAACAGTTTTAAGATTTATTCTATTTTTATATATTTAGATAGGTGATCAAAAGATTTTCTCAAAGAAAGGTAGCACAATTAACTACATTACTTCATCCTCATTTTTTTGCTGATATTTGACCTAGAAATAATTTAAATATTGAAATGTTCAGCTCAAATTTAGATTTATGGGGTTGATTTTTTTTCTTATCCCTAATATTTTGCAGTAGCAATTTAGTTACTAAGAATTCTTTCTGTTCACTGTTATTATTTAATGTAATATCACTCCTTATAAAATTTTGCATTTCTAACATGTTTTGATGAGGCTATTTTTTAAGAGTGTAAGCAAGAAAGGAATACCTAGGCTTGTGTTTTCTTTTTCTTTTTTTTTTTTTAAAGAAAGAGGTTGTGGAATGGAGAGATCTGTCATCTGCTGGTTCACTTCCCAAACGTCCATAGCAGCTAGGGTTGGGCCTAGGCTGGAACCAGGCACTCCACCTTGGTCTCCCATATGGGTGGCAGAGGCGCAAGCACTTAGGCCATCTGCAGATGCATTTCCAGTCGTCACATCAGCAGGGAGTATGATTGGAAGTGGAGCAGCCAGGATTCCAACTGATACTGCAGTATGAGATGCTAGTAATAATACAATGCTAGTATTACAGGTGGCAGCTTAAGCTGTTGTATCACAATGCTGAGCTTGCATTTTTATCATGCCTCAGCAAAAATGTAAGCCATAAGTCAGTAGCTTTCATTTATATTATATGGAATCTGAGGGTTTTATGAAGTAAATGAATTATATTCACTCTTAAAACGCCAAGAAATACTTCATAAAACCCTCAGATTCCGTATCTCTGCCCAATTGGGGGGTTGGGATTCTGATGGATTTCTTAGGCTTGAAAATTATTTTTCAAAGCCGGTGCTTTTGAAATTGTCAGTTTCTGTCCATGAATGAGTTAGGAAGCTGGCTTAGTGGGTGATGACAACAACTTTTTTTTTTTAACATTTAAGAGAAGAGAAAATAGCACAGCATTTTCATATTGCAGTAATGTTAAGTAATATTTTGAGAAAGATTTACCTTTTCCTAGGTACAAATACTGAAGCATATGTGTGTGTGCTGGATTGCAACTTGAAATATAATTTTACTATCGGCCATGGCCAATTACATAGCTAATTCATATGTTCAGTGCGGAGAGATTGTTGTTGACATGTATATGCAAGTCCAGATCATTGCTTTTAGACATATTTGAACCTTAGTACCACAGTATATTGACTATTTTCCTGGTCTTCCAGATGTTTTTTCCCTATCAATCACAATTTTGTAGTCTTTTTCTTCTCTTTTCTTTATTACAAACACCAGACATCTATATTTTTACAAGGTCTGTTTTCTATACTTGTTTTAATTTTTATCTGTTCAAAAGCAGAAAGAGAGCAGTTGAGCAAATGAATGTCCTCCTCTAGTGCACAACAGCCAAATGGTCACAATAGCTAGTGCTGGATTAGGCTGAAGTCAGGAGTCTAGCACTTATTCTGAGTCTCTTGTATCAGGGGACCACTTGAGCACCTGAGCCATCACCTGCTGCCTGCCAGGGTGTGCAGCAACAGAAAGCCAGTATAAGAAGAGCCAGGACTTGAACCTTGGCACTCCCATATGGCTGTGGCATGCCAGACAGTGTCGTAATAGCTACACTAAATGCCTGCCTCTAAATAGCCTCCTAGAGCACACAGAACAATCTACTTTGTGAACATCTGTAGCCCCAGAGTAGAAACTTCACAAAACAATGGATTTTCATGACCTTTGTAGTACATAACTCATCCTTGCTGGAAAATGAAGTAAAATAGAAGAGTTCTTAAAAAGTTGGACTCTATCCTGTGTATTGAGTTCTTGTATTTGTTGGAACCATTAGTAATGGTTGGATCTTGGTAAGAAAATAGTGTTCTGAAAGTGTTATTTTGTCCCTGTCCTTTGGGTTATTTAGTGGACTCTGGTAATATGTACTTTTCTAGGGTATTGAATGTACTTTATTTCTGTAAGGAAAACCCTGTTCCATGTCTATTGATGTATATATTAGAGTATTAAAGTGTCTTCTAGATAATTGACTACAAAGGTGTCTTTGTATCTTAGTTTTTTCATCTCAAAAATAGATGAGACAAAAACCCAAAATATATCAGATTCCACCTCTGACACTTTAATTCTGTGATTGTCTTGTAAACTTATTTTAAAAAGAAGAACTGTTCTTTTGCATTAGGCTGCTTTTATTCGCGACGAAATGATGCCAGGAGAGTGGGACGTTTGTGTCACTTCTTATGAGATGGTTATTAAAGAGAAATCTGTGTTCAAAAAGTTTCATTGGCGCTACCTAGTCATTGATGAAGCTCACCGAATAAAAAATGAAAAATCCAAGGTAAGTTCTCAATATCTTTGTTAACGTTTTCATCTAATTCTCAGATCTGTCCTCTCACTTTTGTGTATTAAAAAAATACAAAAGTGATGGAAGATTTTTATTTTATTCATTGAATATAGAATGTGAATGAAAATCAGTTTTTCAAATGATTTTAAAGTCTTGAATTGTTGAATACAGAGTAAATAAGATTTGATCAATTTTTAATGTACAGAAAATTAGGTGTTCATTGGCTATGCCATTTGTGGTAGTCTGTTATACTGTGGTGTTTTATTGTTGAGAGTACATAGTGTGTGGATGTGATTTGCATTGGCTTATTTTTTTTTTAATTGAGGTGTTATATATACTCTTATACATTAGAAAAAGAATTTCCTGGAGTTGTCTGACTTGTGTGAATTACAGTGTGTTATTAGCATTGAAAATACTCAGTGTGTTTTGGCATTCAACTATATCAGCAGTAGGAAAAGCTTCACGTATTATGATGAACATCTCTGGGCTAGTTTGTGAGAAACAGGGACAGAACTTCTGCAAAAGCACCAGGTGGATCACACTAATTCCTAATTGGAATAATTACCTGATAAGACGATGCATATTTAAGAATAATTATTTAAGTGCGTTATAAAAATGTTCACTGTTGTTAGGACTGCTCCTATGTTGTATGTTTTACTGTGAAGTTAATAGAAAGTACCACTCAATTCTGGTGCTTAAAGATTTGGGTTAGGCTAAGTTAGCTCTTTGCTAGGTTTGTAGATGAACATGGTCGGCAGGGAGAAGGAGATTTTGCTGTAGAGAGTAGCTAGCCAGGTTTCCATGGAGAAGATCTGACAGTTTTCTGTGAATCCAAAATGAAGAAAATACTTTTTCTGAAGAGGAGGAGGAGTCTGATGTATAAATATGGTCTGCACTGTTTCAGATGTAGAAATGCCTGGAGTATTTTGTTTAGTTGTGCTTCACTGTAGCAGTGTAACTTGAACTAGGATATTTTTCTATAGAGCATCATTGTCAAGTTTTATTGTACCAAATGGACTTCAAAAAAATGTTTGTGGAAAATGAAATTAAGTAAGTTTGTTTTGGTGCAAAAAATACTGAAATCTATGCATAGTTTTTTCATTATGTGCATTTTGTGAGCTTTTTGGTGGACCCTCATATTTAAAAAAAAATGTGTTGGAATGCTGAGCTTTCTACTAAACCAATGCTTACAAAAGTATTATTGTTTCTAGCTTTCAGAGATAGTTCGTGAATTCAAGTCAACCAACCGTTTGCTCCTAACTGGAACACCTTTGCAGAATAACCTGCATGAACTCTGGGCATTACTCAACTTCCTATTGCCAGATGTCTTTAATTCTGCAGATGTAAGTTTAAGGTTTATGACACGGATCGTTTTCCTATGTTCATAGACATTTGTTTTTCAAAGCATAGATTGGAGATCAAAAGTTCTACTTACATTTCATGTATGAATTTTGATCTCCGTGTTTCAGTTTTCTCAGGATATAGTTCTTAAGTGCAAAATTTTAAAATGGCCATATTTAGAAATTAGTGTGTTTTTCTTTTTTGAAATCAACCTGCCTTTTAAACTCTTCCTTTGTCCTATTGCAATCGTAGCTTATGATGTTAGATAATCTGAATTCAGAATAGTGTCTTCAACATTCTCTTTTCATTAAATTTCAGTAGCTTGACATATGTTCCTATATATTAGTGTGGTAGGTGGAGAATTTAAAATAATCTTAATTCTAGGTTTTAGCATTTGGTAAGTGTTAAAGAGCCTATAAGTATTTGAACTGAGAAACACCATGTTTTGTGAGTGTGTAATTTCTTTTTTTTAAATCATGAGCACAAATTTATACTAGGTTAGAAAACTACTGAATGATTTAAGGACTTTTGGGACTTGTTTTTCCCCATATTAATCAATAATAAAAAAGTACGTAGTTTAGCAATTCATTGACTTGTAAACCTTTATCTTGCTTTTGCTTGTTTTATTTGATATCACCAACATTTTCACTAACATGAGATGTCCTTGATTTTATATTCTTCCTTTGACAGTTGTTAATAAGATACAATCTTAATGGTGATATGAGAAAGCCTAATAAATGTCTTCTAGGGTAAAAAATTGCTGATGGGTTTCCTGTAATATGAGTTCTAATTTCATTGACTTTTCAAGTGTTTTCTCTCTTTTTAGAACTAAATAATATATTGCCTGTGACAATGGATGAAGTTTTGAAAGTACTATTAAAATGGGTTATGTCTATATGGGTCACACATGCATTTATGGAATATAGAGTGTATTTTTTTTAAATGGCTGTGCTTTTATGACAGAATTTCTACTTCTCCACAGGACTTTGATTCTTGGTTTGATACCAAAAATTGTCTTGGTGATCAAAAACTTGTGGAAAGACTTCATTCAGTAAGTAGCTGCAGACAAGCACATTGGGTCATTAAATGTGTAAATGAGTTTGAAAACAAACTGCCATAGAATCTGTTGGAACTTGTGGGTTTGCCTCTTAACTTCGTCTCACTGCTTCCAAGTCTCAGCTTTCTGACAGCCTCTTTGGTTAACAAAGTCCGCTGTGTCCTCAGCCTCTCTGAGCAATGGCTTTCTTGAGTTGGCTCTCCCCGAAGAGGCTGTGGGTCTCTCCAGCTGCTGGAACTTCGTTCAGTGGTACTCAAAATGACGTCAGGGTTCCCTTAGTTCCCCAGTGTCATTTCTTGAGTTACTGCTTCCGGACTAGCATATGTAAAACTCTTTCGTTGAGGTGTATGCTCTCTTGGTGTTCCACCCTCCGTCCATTTATCATCTGTTCATCACCAGATGACTTCCTCACGTTCATTGAACACCAGTTTGCCATGATTTGATAGCAAGCTTCTTCCATGTTGCTAGCTTTTTCACTCGTGTTATTGTTTCTGTACAGTACGGAGATCTCCAGTCACTTGGACCTCTGCTTTTGTCCCCATTTATCAGCCCACTTCTATTGTGGCGTTTCTATATTTGGCAGCGAGTCTCTTTTCTGGCACTGAAAGCACTCTTTTGCCAGTTTTCCCAGGTTCTCTTGCTCTCTTGTCCATTTGCCATACCTTCTCTGAAAGCCCTAAACTGGAGTGATGTAACATTTCTGTCCTTTGTGTGTAAATTCTGCTTCTACTGCTGTTTACTGGACTGACCCTCTTGGTGCTGTGGCTGCTCAATCCTGATGATTTTACAGCTGTATGAGTTGGAACCACTGTGATCTCATATTCTCTAACATAGCTTTGGTTTTGATGATTCTGGTAATCTCAAGAAATGTGAACTTCTACAGTCTACTTTTGCATTTTCTGTAACAGCTATTCTAGACTTTTCTCAATTTGCCCAAGATTTCTTTGTTTTTATTTTATTTTTTATTTTATGACCAAGTTTAATAGGCAGTGGGGTTTCACCTCCCCCTTTCCCTTCCCCTCTAGATTTCTATTCCATTTATTCCTTGCCCTCCTCATCTCTGCAGGTGGCATCATGCTATTTTCCAAGACAGTAGAGATCATTAGGTAGGAGTTACTTGAAGAATATTTATCTTCCAAGGACACCTGCATCTGTGCTACCTTCTGTCTGGACCTCATTTCCTACACACCTGCCCCCATTATCTATGCTTTTTAAAAAACGTTTTATTTATTTTTATTGGAAAGTCAGATATACAGAGAGAAGGAGAGACAGAGAAGAAGATCTTCCGTCTGCTGATTCACTCCCCAAGTGGCTGCAATGGCCAGAGCTCAGCCAATTCCATGCCAGTCTCCAGCATCCTCTTCCTGGTCTCCCACATGGGTGGGTGCAGGGTCTCAAGGCTTTGACCTGTCCTTAACTGCTTTGCCAGGCTACAGGCAGGGAGCTGGATGGGAAGTGGGGCCGCCAGGATTAGAACCTGTGCCCATATGGGATCCCGGCGCATGCAAGGTGAGGATTTAGCCACTAGGCTACCGTGCCAGGCCTATTCTATGCTTTTAATTAACTTAATTTTCACTCTCCTTATCCTCAATATATATAAACATAGTCAGGTATTTCCCTAATTATCTCCAAATCCAAGCCTGTATCCACCTATCCTCATGCATATGTGAGGGAACTTAAAAATTTTATGTGAAAATGGAGTTTAGGGCTCAGTGTGGTAGCCTACTGGGGTCCTTGCTTTGCATGCACCAGGATCCCATGTGGATACCAGTTCTAATGCTGGCAGCCTCACTTCCCATCCAGCTCTCTACTTATGGCCCAGGAAAACAGTGGAGGACAGCGCCTTGGAACCTGCACCCGCATAGGAGACCCAGAAGAGGCTCCGGGCTCCTGCTTCAGATCTGCTCAGTTCCAGCCATTGCGGCCACTTGGGCCGCAATCAGACGGACTCATCAGACGGAAGATATTCTTCTCTGTATATTTGCTTTTCCAATAAAAATAAATCTTTAAAAATGGAGTTTAGAAACTTACTCTGGTATATATATATATATATTTTTGGAAATCCACACATACTGTCTTCATAAGATGTTTTTGTCCCATTCTAAAAAATTCTATCTTCCATGAACTTTTTGAAGTACCCTGTACAAAACATGGCTTACTCAGCATGTGTCCCTGTCTGTGAGTCTGGCATCTATCTTCTTTATTGTTGTTGTTTTGTTTTTACAGATTTATCTGTTTACCTGAAAACTATAATCACAGACAGAGATTTTCCATCTGCTGATTCAATTCCTGGACCCTTGCTGTGGCTAGAGTTGGGCTGGTCTGAAACTGAAAGCTAGAATTTCTTTCAGGTGTCCCACATAGATGCAAGGTGTCTGAGGACTTGAGCCATTCTCTGCTGCTTTCCCAGTATATTGGCAGGGAGCTGGATCAAAAGTGGTGTAACCGGGACTTGAACTGGCACCCACAGGGGATACTGGTGCCACATGTGGAGGATTAGCCTGTATGCTATCACTCTGGTCCTGAGTCTGTTTTCTTCTTTTGAGAACTAAATTTCTTGAAGTAATAGTTTCTCTATCTCTACTTCGTAGTCTCTCATTCATTCCTTTTTAAAACATACAGCTGCTATGTTTGCTATATTCATTTAATAATTGTTTTATCTATATCTCTTATAGCTTTTTAATTTTCAAACCCAAGAGTCAATTGGCTGTTACTATTATAGAACTCCTCAGGGTCTCCCACACAGGTGCAGGATCCCAAGGCTTTGGGCCACCCTTGACTGCTTTCCCAGGCCACCAGCAGAGACCTGGATGGGAAGCTGGAACACTGGAATTAGAAGTGATACCCATATGGGATCTTGGCATGTGCAAGGCGAGGACTTTAGCCTCTAGGCTACCACGCCGGGCCATTTGTATTATTTTTATAGTAAAAGTTTGCTTTGCCTATGTAATTAAAATGAGATTTTTTATGTTAGTCCTTCTTATTGTGATAAAAACATATAACAGTGTATTTGCCTTAATCATTTAAGAGTATAGTTAAGTGTTTAGCATATTCACATTATTCTAAAGCAGATCACTTGAACTTTTCATCTTGGAAGACTGAAATGATACTAGTTAAGTACAAATTGCTGTGCCTACCACACACACCCCTTAGCTACTATTTTTCTACTCTTTTTTTTTTATGATTTTAACTGTTTGATGTTCCATATGAGTAAAATTATTTCATATATTTTTCTTGGTGACTGGTTTATTTTGATTGGCATATTTCCTTGAGATTCATGAATATTATAGCAGGTGACAAGATTTTATTCTTTTTAAAGACTGTACAAGAGTTCATTGTGTCTGCCAAAGTATTGTCATTGAAGTATTGGTGAATACGGATTCCAGTTGTTGTCTGTGCTACTTAAAGCTGCAGTGAACATGAAAGTGGAAGTGTTGAGATGCTGCTTTGTATTTTTTTGGATATATATCCAGGTGGGATTGCTAACTCACAGCGATTCTATTTTAATTTTGGGGGAAGCCACATACTAGTTTTCACAGTGGCTGTATCATTTTGCATTCCCAACCACAGTGAACACAGGTTCCAATTTCTTTGTGTCCTTGCCAAACTTATATTTGGTTCTTTTAATAGGGACTGTATTAATTGGTATCAAGTCATATCTCATTATGGCTTCAATTTCTTTTCTGTTAGGGATGTTGAGCATTTTTTATATGCTTGTTGGACATTTGTAAATCTTTTGAGAACTGTCCATTAATTTTCCCATTTTATTTTTTTAAAGACATATATTTTTTTAATTTGAAAGGTAGAACTATGGAGAGCAAGAATAGGAGAAAACAACTACTGGCTCACTCCCCAAATGGTCACAAGATCTGAAGCAGGCCAGGCGGAAGCCAGGAGCTCAGAGCTCCATCTGAATCTCCCATGTGGGAGTAGGGGTCGAAGCAGTTGGGCCACTTCCTTTCTTGCCTTCTCAGCCACAGTATGGGAAGGCTGGATCAGAAGCAGAGCAGCTAGGACTTAAATGACATTCTGATTTGGAATGTTAAGTGCTTCAGGACGAAGCGCAATCCTCTGACACAATGCCATCCCATATTTTGCTCGTTTTAAAATCAGGTTCTTGGGCCCGGCACGGTGGCGCAGTGGTTAAGGTCCTCGCCTTGCACGCCCAGGATCCCATATGGGCTCCGGTTCTAATCCCGGCAGCCCCGCTTCCCTTCCAGCTCCCTGCCAGTGGCCCGGGAAAGCAGTGGAGGTCGGCCCAAATCTTTGGGACCCTGCACCCGCGTGGGAGACCCGGAAGAGGCTCCTGGCTTCGGATCAGCATAGCATTGGCCGTTGTGCTCACTTGGGGAGTGAATCATCAGACGGAAGATCTTCCTCTCTGTCTGTCCTCCTCTCTGTATATCCACCTTTCCAATAAGAAATAAAAAAAGTAAATAAATCTTTAAAAAATTAGGTTCTTTTTTGGTCTGTTTTTTGCTTTTTTTGTTTTGTTTTTTTTTTTGCTACAATTTGAAGAAATTTCTTATATATTGTTTTTAGGAATTTATTCTTTCTAGGTTATCCAATTTGTTGGGCTGTAATTCTTCTCTTGTTCACTTTTTTAAAAAAGATTTATTTATTTTTATTGCAATGGTAGATTTTACAGGGACAAGGAGAGAAAGAAAGATCTTCCATCTGCTGATTCACTTCCTAAATGGCCTCAGTAGCCAGTGCTGAGCAGATCCAATCCGAAGCCAGGAGTTTGGAGCCTCCTCCAGGTCTCCCATGTGGGTGCTGAGTCCCAAGGCTTTGGGTCATCCTCTACTGCTTTCCCAGCCACAGGCAGGGAGCTGGATGGAAAGTGGAGCAGCCTGGACATGAACTGGCACCTGTATGGGATCCAGTACTTGAAGGTAGAGGATTAGTCAATTGAGCCATCACACCAGGTCCTCCTATTCACTTTTGAGCCCATTGACCACTGGCTTCTCTTCATTGTGTACACCTGAAAGTTACATCATATGATGTTTAGTGACTTTCTAGTTGCTGAATTCAAGATATATTCCCCTCAGTTTCTTGGCCTCTCCCTACTATTTCACTCTCTGTTTCTTGGCCTTACTTCTGGAAGCTCTTTTTGATGTTTGGTTTGCAATATACTGATTTTCTCTTTCCTCTTTGGCTGCTCTTCTTAGACCTCTATATGGGCTTTGCTTTGTTCCTTAAATTTAACATTTTGGGGATGGGTATTTGGCACAGTGTTTCCAAGGCAGTTGCACTTTTAAGATTCTCTCTCCTAAACAAGTTTGTGAGGCACAAATCAAGTCTTTTTGTACTGTTCTGTTTTCCTTGATTTCATAGATTGCTAATAATAATAGGTATAGTTTACTAAATGTGGTAAGCTCTGTGCCTGCACTGCCATAAATCTTTGTGACAGCCCTAGAAATAGTATCATTATCCCCATTTAAAAACACTCGGCGTATATACATACCGTAAATATTTTTTCAATGAGTAAATGAAGAAATGGGCTTGGAAAAAAAAATAAGCAACATGCATAAGTTCAAGAGGTAATCAGAATCTGCCAGATCTGCATTTGAGTTCGGCTTCCACTGCTTACCAGCGAAGTGACTTCGGTGAGTTTACTGCTCAGATTGAAATAGTCACATCTCAAAGATGTACTGTAGTTACTTGCTGTAATTCAGTACTTATTTTAGTGAAGTTCGTAATTCAGTGTTTGGAAAATTGTAGAGAGGCACTCTGTAAGCGATAGCACTGTTGTTAGGATAGACTCTGTCTTTCAGGTATATGTTGATTATTTTGTATTTTATGTTTTATCCTGATTCATCTGTATCTTCATTAATGGTGAGCCATTTTCTTTTTGTTCATATGTTTAACTATTTTGAGATGACCTGTAATTTTATTTCATTTTTAGTCTTTTATTAGTGCTCTGAATTCAGATTACCTCTCCTGTTTTAAAGTCAAAAGATTATTTATGAAGAGAGAGAGAGAGAGAAAGAGAAACCTTCTAACCACCAGCTCACCCCCCAAATGTCTTTCTAGAACCCAGTCTGGGTCTCTTATGTGAATAATAAAGTCCCAAGTACTTGTGCTGTATTCTCCTTTAGTAGGTATGCTGGACTAGAAATGGAATAGCTGGGGCTTGAACTAGCGCTCTAATGTGGGATTCCAGTGTCAGAATCAGCAGCTTAACCTGTTGAACCACAGTGCTGGTCCCTACAGCTATGAAGTAAATTTCACATTCGAGTGGTGTTAAGTGAAATACATGCTTTGCAGTGTTAAATGCTTTATAATTCTTAAATAAAAACTATCACTTTTTAGGTTTTAAAACCATTTTTGTTGCGTCGTATAAAAACTGATGTAGAGAAGAGTTTGCCTCCAAAAAAGGAAATAAAAATTTACTTGGGATTGAGTAAGATGCAGCGAGAATGGTGAGCTATTTTATTTCCATTAAAACTTTTTTTTGTGTTAAGAATTTACTAAATGATAGTTTTGTAGTTCCTTACATATGGTTTCAGTTCAAACATTACATTTTATATTTAAATGTGACAAATAGTTGAAATGTTTTAAAACAATTAAAAGATATTTTGCCTAACTTTTGGGAAAGAACAGGTTTTAGAGTCCGTCGATTAGTGTTTGAATCCTATGTGTTACCCCTTTTTATTTTAAAGATTTTATTTGAAAGACAGAGTTGCGGAGAGTTCTCTACCATCCGCTGGTCCACTTCCCCAAATGGCTGTAAGAGCCAGGGCTGGGTCAGGAGCCTAGAACGCTATTCAGGTCTCTCATGTTTGTGGCAAAAGCCCAGGTAATTGGACCATCTTTTACAGGAGCATTTGCAGGAAAAAGAGCTGAATTGAAAATGGTACAGCTGGATAGAACCATTGTTCATATGGGAGTGGGATGCCAGTAACGCACTGCAGTACGCACATATATATATTTTTTACATGATTTACTTTTTACTCAGAAAGTCAGAGTTATAGGGAGGAAGGGAGGGACGGGGAGAGGCAGAGAGAGAGAATGAATCTTCCATCCATTGGTTCACTCTCCCACCTGTCCACAAAGCCAGATCTGAGCTGGTCTGAAGCTGGGAGCCAGGGGCTTTTTCTAGATCTCCCAACTGGGTGCAGGGGCCCAAGGATCTAAGCCATCCTTCAGTGCTTTCCAGCATCATCAGGGAGCTGGATCAGAAGTAGAGCATCTAGGACTCAAACTGGTGCTCAGATGGGATGCTGATGCAGATGGAGGATTAGCCTGTTATGCCTTGGTACCACCCCACCCCCACTCTTACTGTGTATATTGCCTCTCAATAGCTATTTAGTGTGGGCAAATTATATCACCTTTTTTTTTTTCTAAAAATATGTGTGATAATACTTAGTTTAAGAGGCAGATTTTAGGATTTAAAGAGCAAAATGTCACTGGCAAACTTGTTATTCTTGGTTTTTGTCATCAGTGAAAATAATAATAATTATCATGATGGTGATAAAAACAGTGTGATTATGGATGTTAACAAAATACAGATGCTGGAGTGGTCTGATAAACAGAAGCAGAACTGGAAATTGATAAGGGAATCACTAAGTGATAGTGATAAAACGGTTATTGATATAATAATGGTACTAGAAGATGGAAAATGTTGCTTATATAAGTAAAATTAAATCATATATAAAACATGTAATGATTTATCTAGCCTACAAGCTGGCATAATGTAGTAGAGCATCAGAAGTAAGACCAACTCCTTGCCTTGCCTTATTGCTGTGGCTGTATGTTATTCACCTTCTTTTAGCTTTGTGAATTTCTGTTCATGATATGGGTATGATACTGATACATACTCGAGTTGCGATGATTTAGTGGAATGATTCAGGTAAGTCCTGTACAAATTGACTATTAAATTCTGTTTTTCGTCAGATGAATGCACAGGTCTCTTTTTGTCTGGGTAAAGGTCTAGAAAAAGGTGAAAACAGTTACAAGATCATGAAAAAAGATTATCTGTAACGATAGGTTTATATAAACTTGAGACTGCTTTTAGCTCAAAAGTGGATGTCAATGTTTAGCAAATATTGTAGTTCTAAAATAATGATCAGATGCATGCAATTCTCTGAATAGTTATCAGCTGATGAGCGTTTCTCATCAGTGGAGCAGGAGAAAACATTTTTGTAAGCAACATAGAAGTTAAATGTGAAAACTTTATTTGTTTCTTGGTTTTGCTGCTCAGTTTTGGTCTTCAGTCAAGTTTTCAAATGGGAATCTAATCTGACCATCAGGGATAATTTCTTCATGGCATTCGTCTTTCTAATAATTGGTGGCTAATTTTATTTCAAATTTTAGGTATACGAAAATCCTGATGAAAGATATTGATGTTTTAAACTCTGCTGGCAAGATGGACAAGATGCGACTCTTAAACATTCTCATGCAGCTTCGCAAGTGTTGTAATCATCCGTACCTGTTTGATGGAGCTGAGCCTGGTCCGCCTTATACCACTGATGAGCATATTGTCAGCAACAGTGGGAAAATGCTAGTTCTAGATAAGCTTTTGGCCAAACTCAAAGAACAGGGTGAGTAAGAAGTGTTTACTTTAGCAAGGAACAAATTCGTATGAATGTATTATGAGTATACCTTTTCCACATTCATTCATTCACTCATTCAGCAGACATTGTTGCATATTTGTTACGTGCCAGGAATTGTCCTATGAGTTGGGTACACAAAAGTAAGATATTAGTCTTAGCCTTGGACAAGCTGACAGCGCAGGGAGGAGGAATGGTTGTGATAAATGCTGTGATGGGTTGAGAAACAGGGAGTTGGGAAAGTCTTCACAGAGATAACAGTTGGAGTGAATGCTGAAAAGTGGAGTGAACCATGGTAATAGCAGAGGGAGGGTTCTCCAGGTCAGTGAAATGAATATATGAAAGAAGGCAATGGGTGGAGGTGGGGTATATGGTGTATGGGGGTAAAGGAGGGTAAAGTGGCAGTTGATGAATCTGAGGAGCTGCATGGATCCAATTACAAAAGGTCATTGAAACCAGGTTTTAAGGCACATGAAAGTTTGCTGAAGGCAGAAGAAGGACCTGAGAAGATTTGCTGTGGATAGTGCTGTTACGGGAGTTAACGTGGTAGGAGGAGAGTCTTGGAGGCAATATGAGGGATCAGCTGAGGCCAAGAGACCAGAAATGAACAGAAGACTAGTTGGGAGACTAGTGGCTCAGACTCAGCGATCCAATGGGAGGCCATGTGGAGCCATCATTCCCCCTTAGGACAAAGTAAAGGCACAGTTTTTTCTTATATCATGTCAATATGTATAGAGGATGTTGAAGAACAATGTGTAGCTTGCAAATGCAAAATTATATAGCGCATCCCTTGAAAGGGTGTGTGTGCGTTTGGTGGACGGCTCTTGTATTATAGGAGAGTATTTCAAAAGCTACATGTGCAATGGAATTAAAAGGCAAGTTTATTTTGGTGTAAAATGTTGAAATCCAGCCTTTTGAAAAGTTCACAAAATGTATATTGTGAAAATGCTACATGGAGCACACTAAATTTTATATCAAAATAAGCTTTAAACTCCATTTTCCATGAACTTTTTGAAGTAGCTTCACATGTGTATATTGTGTATGATGTTAAGTATTATTTTCCTAACTTCAAGTTAGTTTTGCACAAGTTGTATAATTTGCCTTTCCTTGTGAAATGTTTTAGGTTCAAGGGTTCTCATTTTCAGCCAGATGACTCGCTTGCTGGACATTTTGGAGGATTATTGTATGTGGCGTGGATATGAGTATTGTCGGCTGGATGGACAAACCCCACATGAAGAAAGAGAGGTGAGGAAGAGAGAATAAAACACCACTTCCAAAATCAGAGTTCAGTGAAGCAATGTTTTTCATCATTAGGTCATTTCGAACTTTTGCTTTTTCTTGAGCTAGGTGCATAGACTTTCTCACTGCCATCTCTTTCTGGAATCTTCAGTTTAGTTTCCATTCTGCTGATTCTTTACAAATCATCTTTCCAAGGTCTCCTTATCTAGGAGGAGAGTCTTGGAGGCAATACGAGGGATCAGCTGGACACTACTCCATCCTTCTCTCCTCTAGCCACTGCTATCTCTGAGCTCTTTGATTATCATTGCTCAGCTTATTCTCTGACTTACGATTTGATGCAATTTTCTTTTCTTGATTTGCCTCCTGCAGTAGACCCTTGCCATTTGTGGAGTTTAATGGAGGAGATTTGGCCTATTAATGAGCAACACAAAGACTCATACATGTAGTCATCTCTAAAGGAAGTAATCTTGATCTCATGGAGCTTTTGTACAAGTTAGATGGCAGCAGTAAAATACAGATGCTTATCATGAATTTTGGATCTTGGGACACGCAAAGGTTGTTGTGCATGAATGAGTCCGTGAGCTTACCTAGCACCCATTAGGTTTCTTGAATTTGAAAACTCTTTGAGATCTTTAGACTATCCCTCACCAATGTCATGGGTCTAATGCTTTTCAAGCGCTTTTTGGAGAAGGCTTTGATAATTTATCTTCTATATTCTGTTATCTTTCGGGGCTCTTTCTTGGGCTTCTGTTTCAAGCCTATGCTCAAGTTCTGGGCAAAGATCATGATTTTATGGTATATTGAAAAATGCACTGAATTTGGTTAAAGAAGCCCTGTGAATTTTAGCACCTGCTTTGCTGCTTTGTAGTGTATGCAAGCCATTTAATTCTCTGAGCCCCAGTATTTTCACTTGTATTATAAGTACACCATTAACACATGAGTTTCTTTTTTTTTTCTGATAGTGTTAGGTGGATCAGTGAATATGAATGCAGCCTTAAATTAGTAATGCAGTATATGAGTGCATGTCCAAAAGTTTGTGGAAATGGAATTAAAAAAATATTTTGGTGCAATTTTTGAAACTGAGTACATGCAAGAACTTCAAAAACTTCATGGCAAGTGCATATTATGAAAAGCTACAGGCCTAAATAAACTTAGCTTTTAATTTCATTTTCTATAAACTTTTGGAAGTGCCTGCGTATGCCACGTGTCATGACATTGCACACAGGTCTTTTACAGGCATGTGGTTTATAGTCCTTTCTCCAGGTACTCAGCCTGAATCCCTTCCTGTTGGTAAATGCAATGGGCCCTGTCCCGCAGGTGCTTCCTCTGGAGGCCTGCTGTAGCACAGAGTGGTGTTTACAGCAAGCACACAGGCCCTTTTCCTATTAAGGCGTTTAGGCCGGCTGCTAGAGGGAGGCAGATGTGGTAACATTCACACACATGAGGACGGTTCAGTGCTTGCACTGTTCCATGCAATATAGATTTTTACTCTTTGGGAGTAATTTTTACTCATCTGGGAGATGGTGGCTTGAAGCTTTACTGAGCTTTTGCTGACCTGTTGATAAGAACTGATTTTACTATGTTAAGCATACGTCCTATAGTGCCATTGTAGATGACTGTTCTTCATAGAATGAAGAGGAGACCAAGGCAGTACAGTAGGTGCTTTGTGATGTCAAGTAGCCAAGTGTCGTTTCTGACTGTTTGCTCTGTTCATGATGTATCTATGTTCAAATTCTTCAGGTTTTTAAAAATTTCAAATAATGAAAAAAATTCAAATAGTGTTTTGTTCTCAGAAACTTTCAATTATGTATGGTAATTTAAAATTTGGCAAAGTCAGAGCTGTTCATATATTTTTTTTTCTTGGAGATGCCCTGCATTCCTTCTGTGTTGTCCATGCCATCATTTCATCCATTATTTCCAGTAAGAAGTGGCAGACCATATTTGGTTTCTTACTCTGTGTGCCAGCTGTGAATAAATAATTCTTTCTTAATAGCTCTGATTTGTCCTTTCCCCATAACTGCAGCTGAATTCAGCTAGCTGAGCCTCTGGTCATCCTCTGATTTAATTGGCCTCCTCACTTTTATAGGGAAAGGAACTAACATTTCACAAACAACTACTATGAGCTAGGCAACTTAAAGTTCCAATTGAATTCTCCCAGCAGCCTGGTAAAGTATTGGTATAATTTTCTCCATTTGAAACTGTGTCTCAGAGAGGTTAAATGCTTGCCGAGAATCACAGATGTAATAAATGGTAGAGTCGTGATTCACGCTCAAGTTTTTGCTATTTCCTCTACAGCAAGGTGCCTCTCACTACACCCAGCTGCTTTCTCTACTGCCCCTTCACGTGCTCTGCTGACTGCGGCAATGGGAGTCACTTTCTCCGCCTGCAACTTTGACCATGCCATGTCATTCATTGAAAAAAAGAAATACTTTCCTGCCTTTTGTAATTATACAAGTAATAAATAATTGCTGAAGGAAATTTAGAAAATGAAACTGTTTCTGGCCAATCTTTTTCAATGTATGTAAGATATGTTTAAGTAATTGATAGCATACTGTTTAAAGGTCAATATGCTAAGTCTCACTCAGCATTATATTGTACTTTTGTATTTTAGTAAAGAAAATCATTATAAAATAATGTTTGAATAACTATTTTATCCAGTGGCTATAGTTTGAGTAACTTATCCCCCCCTATTTTTTTTATCATTTAAGCTGTCTCCAATATTTTCATTGTTATAAATAATGCTAGAGTGAAGTCCTTATACATAAATCTTTCTGAACATCTCTATTTCCTTAGGATAAATTCCTAGAAGTGGAATTACGGGGTCAAAGGGTATGAACATTTTTAAGGCTCTTGACGCATATTGCCAAATTGCTTTCCAGAAAGCTTGTGCCAATTGACATTCTCAGCAGCAATGTATGAGAGTGCCCGTCTCACCGCCCCCTCGTCAACATTGAGTATTATCATTTTCTTTTAATCTTCAAAAATGGTATTGTTGTTTTACTTTGCATTTATTTGATGACTAGTGAGGTTAAACATTGTTCTTGTTTCTTGTGTTGTTTGGTCATTCGTGTTTGTTTTAAGAGTTGTATTTTTTCTTTTTGCTCTTTTTTTTCTGTTGGAGTCTCAGTGTTCTAATTTCTCTGAGACCTTTATGTAGTAAGGATGTCAACATCCTTTTAATTTGTGAGATCGATTACTGAATATCCCTTTTGTGGCTTCTTGGTTTTGCCTATTGCTTACTTGTTTGTCCTTTGTCGCCATACTGGCATGTATCTTCTTACTTTGCCTTTTGTCTGTTTTTGCTCATTCCCATTCCAAAGCCTTTTTATCTCTTGGTTGATCTTCTGAATTGTATCTTTATTAATTCTTCATAAGTTAATGGAAATGAAGTTGAGATAGGACATTCTACCTGCAGATATATTTCAGGTCTTAATTATCTGAATGAATAATTCATTTTTTAGTTGAAGTTGCCCTTGTGATTTTGCTAAGTTTATTGATCTAAGCTTTTAAACATTAATAGTTTCATTGATATACTTTCTACAGTAGTTCACAGTACAGTATGTAGATATATGCTTAAGTGTTTTTAAAGATAGAATATTATAAATATATGTAAAGTATATTAAAAAGTATACAGAGATCTTTTTGTGTGCATGTTAAGTCTTTTATTTGTTTATTAAGGACTCTGGTAATTCGATTTTTCTTTCTCTTTTTTTCTTCCTGTTCCTTTATCAATTTTTTAAAAAGGAAGCAATAGAGGCTTTTAATGCTCCTAATAGTAGCAAATTCATCTTTATGCTGAGTACCAGGGCTGGAGGTCTTGGAATTAACTTGGCAAGTGCTGATGTGGTTATACTGTATGATTCAGACTGGAATCCACAGGTTGATCTTCAAGCTATGGTTAGTAATCTTTATTAATAATCTCAGAAATGGGATCTTAGAAAACCATTGTTATTTATACAACATGGCGATTTATGCCAAAAGGGAGAAAACTTTGGAGATTTATAAAAGTTAAAGATTTTCCTTGGGGGAAAAAAAGTTGCTGTGCTAAATATGAAAGCAAAAGAATTGAAGACAAGCACACACATACATTGATTCCAACTGCAACATTTATGTGTTGATGTGGATTTTTTTCACTTACTATTTACTTTAGTTTTCTTTTATCTGAAGAGAATACATGTAAGGATATTTCTCACCCTCCCTCCCTCATCCTTTCTTTTTCTTTTTTTTCCTTTTAATTTTTATAAGAAAATGCTGTCAATTCACTTTATCATCATAGGCTTAATCCCCCACTAAATAAAAAAAATTCAACAAGTACAGATTATAAAGGCCACTGTCCCTCAAGACTACACATAAAAGCTATGAACAATAATCACATCTCAAGATGGCAGTTTTACTCATATATAGTACATTTTTTGTACTGTATATTAGCTGTCACAAATTGGAGGAAACATACTTGTTTTTTAGGGTCTGGCTTATTTCATTAAGCATAATTGTCTCTAGCAGTGGCTTGACGTCCTGCACTGCAATGCCACCCCAATATAAAAGAACTTAGTGGGATTGGTGCCTAGGCATAGTAGGTTAAGCTTCTGCTTGCAATGCTGGCATTCCATATGGGTGTTTTTTTGAATTTTAGCTGCTCTATGTCTGATCCAGATCCCTGCTAATGGCCTTGGAAAGCAGCAGAGGATGGTCCAAGTGCTTGGGTCACTGTGTTCATGTGGGAGGTCCAGAAAAGGCTACTGGTTCCTGACGTTGGCCCAACTTCAACTGTGGGAACCATTTAGAGAGTGAATCAATCAGTGGATGGACGATCTCTTCCTCTGTCACTGCCTCTCTCACTGTGACTGTCTTTCAAATAAAAATAGATAAATCTTTAAGAAATTGGTTAACAGCCACCACTTATGACACCAGCATCCTGTATCATAGTGCTAGTTTGAGTCCCATCCGTTTTACTTCTGCTTCGGCACCCTGCTAATGCACCTGGGAAACCAGTAGAAGGTGGCCCATGTACTTGGACTGGAGTGTCCCACATGAGACATGCAGAGAGAGGAGCCCCACAGATGCATCCTGGTGCGGCTCAGATGGTTGCAGCTGTTTGGAAAGTGAACCAACAAAAACATCAAAATCCATGAGATATATTTTCCTCTATGTCTCTCATGTGGCTGGCTGAGACCCAACTACTTGGCCATCGGCTGCTGCCTCTCAGCATGCACACTTCTAGGATTAGCAGCTTCTGAGTTTCAAAAACCCTCTTCCTATAAGTTTTTATATTAACAAATTCTGTCACCTTTACTAACTGTAAATCTGTAGGGCCAATTGTGGACCATTGTATAGCCAGGATAATAATAACCTTTTTTTTTTTTTTTACTAAATATTCTTAAATTATTTCAGTAAACTTAAACTGCTTCAATTTGCGATAAAGCAGACTTCTGTGATTGTAACAACCCTTGCTAACTACTTTGTCACTTATTTATAAAACTTCTTTGTAGTTTAGAAGATTGAATTTAGTGGCTTAAAGTGACTTAGTTACTCAGTACATAAGCTTTCTTCTCTCTCTTGTTCTCATCCCAAAGGGACTTTACATTTTGTCCTTCTAGAAATTGTCCCTTAAGAGTACAGTATAATAGCTTTTTTTTTTTGTCCCTGTGAATCTTTAGATATTCTTAACATTCATTTGCCTTTCAAAGCGGTATATCTAGGGAGATAAACAGAAAGCCAATTTTATTTTCAGAATGTTGTAGTGTGTGATTGCTGATACTCTCAAGTTTTATTTATGATATCTGATATCTCATGCAAGGACTCTTTCTACCAGGATCGAGCTCATCGCATTGGTCAGAAGAAGCCAGTACGCGTGTTCCGCCTCATCACTGACAACACTGTGGAAGAAAGGATTGTGGAAAGAGCTGAGATAAAACTGAGACTTGATTCAATTGTCATACAACAAGGTATTTGTACTAATCAACTTTGTTAAGTAGGTTTTGCAAAAACTCATGATTTTCTTTAAATAAGCTTACTTTTAATAAACACTGACAGAAATTTGCAAGCTTAGAGGAAAAATCAGATGTGGATTAAAATGGTCCTTATTGAAACACTTGTATTCACTCTACAGAGTAGTTGAATACCAGTAGCCTATAGTTTCATGCCAGAAGCTTGCCCTGTGAAGTACCTGGTAAGATTTAGCAGGTAAAATGTCTAGCTTTAAAAACAATTTTAATACAGAGAAATTTGTTCTAAAAAAATGGTCTGAGCATGAGAAAAACACATACGTGTCCTGCAGGATTTAAAATTGGTTTCTGAAAAAGATGATTGGAGAAGAAGAATGTGGGGTCCTAGCTGCTGGTTCACTCCATGCCCGGGGCTGGGCCGAGGCCAGAGTTGGTAGCTGAGAACACAATCTGCCACTCCCAGTCATGTGAACCGTGTAGCTGCTTTCCAGTGTCTGCATTAGCAGGGAGCGGGAGTCAGGAAGCAGAGATGGGAATTGAAACCAGGGACTCTGATGTGGGCGGTAGGTGTCTTCTCTGCTACGTTACATTCTATTCCTGTCCTTCTGGGTTTTGACTGAATTTTACGGAAAGAAATTTGTATTAAAATGGAAAGCATGATAGAAGAAAAACAGAGTTGTTCATTAAATTGCTTTAAAGGTTCACTAGTTTTCTTATGAAGCCTTATATATGATTAAATGCAGTATGGTTTAGGTACAACTAATGCAGAGTGCTTTCTTGGGAATGTAATTGCATATATACAATTTTCATTTTTATTATTAGGAAGACTCATTGACCAACAGTCCAATAAACTGGCAAAAGATGAAATGTTACAGATGATACGCCATGGAGCCACACATGTGTTTGCTTCCAAAGAGAGTGAGCTGACAGATGAAGATATTACAACCATTCTCGAAAGGGGAGAAAAGAAGGTTAGTTACTGTAGTGTTCTAGTTTCATGTTGGATTTCTTTAAAATCCACATTCTTCAGCATCTACTTGTATTCAACTGAATTTCATACAACTTATATTTTGTCTAAGAACTTGCAGATGTATTTCTGGGGTAGATTACATTTTTAAGAACATTTTTGGTGAGAAAGACTAAGAGCTAGAATTTAAAATTTAGTGCACTTATACCTTATGCTTACTGAATAGTGCATACTGAAAATACTGTACTTAAAAGCCAAGGAGAGTATTCTGGCAGGGAGTGGAGCAGCTGTGGGCATAGCTAGCAGGTCAGATGTGGAACAGGGCTGCATCTCGGTCCCCCCCCCCCACCCAAAACGCTCACGCACACGCACACCTCCATCAGTGACGCCAGCCCCACCCCTCTGTGAACAGCCCCGGCCCCACCAAACTATCCTCTGCTGCGTGAGCCCGAGGTGGCTCCAGGTGCCCCCAGAAGATCCCCTATATCGTGGTAGCCAGGACTCTGAGCTGCCTGGGACCACATGACTGCTGAGGAGGCAGTAGGTGCTTCCCACCCCCTCCCCCCAAGGCCAATAGACAGGAGAATGACCACGTGAAAAGCAATGGAGATTTAACCCCCAAGGGTGAAGAAGAGTCACCCTCCTCCTCCCCCCACCACGAACTGAACAGATGAGACAGTGGGCACCCCATAACCAGGATGCCTAGGCTAAGGGGGGAATGCCCCACCTCCCACTCTCCAAGGAGACCCTCATGAAGAATAAATTCTCTTTCAAGAAGCCTTTCAAATTGAACGATCTGTCCTTAAAGAAAATTTGAAGAGGATAGGGGCAATTCTCTCAAGTTGGGTTAGTGATGTGAAATGCTCCTGGTCCCAGTCCCTTCCTTGACTCCCTGTCCCCCACCTCCCTGCAGAAGGCAATTGCTTGTTTTCTTCCTCAGTTCTTTTCCAAGTAGGCTTTGTTCACCTTCTCCCCAAATCCATGAGCCAGAAGTGAGGTGCTAACACTCCCAAACCCCGAGTGTCAGCTTTCCCCCTGTTGAGTTTTTTGTCTCTTGTGCTGTCCTAGTGTCACCTGGGCTTGGGAGGACATTGCCCGTGTCTGGGTTTTTATAAATGTCTTACTCAGGTTCTACCTTCTGGCTCGTGAATCACTTGTGTCCTTTTTTTTTTTTTTTTTGACTTGGTAAGTAAGTGTTAGGTTTTGGGGTGAGGTCAGTAAAGTGAAACAACTTTTTATTGTCTTTTTTTTTCTCCCATTGATGTAAATAACTTTTAATGGCCAAACCCCAGAATTGTACTTTTTTCCTAATTGCTAAAACCGTTCTCTTCCACCTAGTTTTACTGTAACTTTTGAAGAAGGAATAAATGTCATCCCTTTAAGAAAAAAAAAAAAAGCCAAGGAAATACTCCTTTTTGCCATATAAGTATTTTCCCCCGGATTAGGAAAAAAATGAAATTGCATATACGAGGGAGTCTTCAAAATGTTTATTGAAAATGTACATTGTGTAAAAGCTATGCATACATTTAAGTTCATTTTGCACAAAAATAAACTTACTTTTTAATTCTGTATTTCAAAACTGTTGAAGTCTCATACTCATATTTCCCAAACATAAGGACTCTTAACAATATATCGTGATACCAATGTCCCACCTGAAAACCCCCCCAATTTTTTTTATTAACATCAAATATCCATTAGTATTCAAATGTTTAATTGTTTCGCAATTTAGTGTTGTATTTGTTCTACCAGGATGATATACAATTAAAAAAAATTCCTTAAGGATTTATATAGAATACTTGTGGTAGCAACTATGATTACAAGGGCTTAATATGCCACTAAAAAAGCAATTAAAAATCAACTCTAATATTTGTTTTGAGTTTATTTTGTGAATTTTTTGAAAGTAGCCTTACGTTTTCAGAGAGAGGGTAAATACAACTTTTTTTTCTCCAAGGCAAAACTTAGATCTTCTGAATACCACTGCAATGTTTGTTTTTAAGAATTCATTAGATGTCCTACTTATAAAATATAAGCTAAGATCAACTACCAGAGTCTGTTAACAGAATTTTTAATGCAACACTTTTACGTCTTTAAAGGGGTCTATGATTGACCAGTTAAGCACCTAAGCAAAAGTACTGAACAGCTTACGTCTGAGTCTTTGAATATTCTGAGGACTTGGGCTACTTTCATAGCTGTTGGAGCCGACGTCAGGTGATAATGATGTTGCTTTTCTGAATGTTTTTATTTCATGATTTTAAATGTATGAAACAGACAGCATTATGTGTGAAAAATCCAGGCCAGTCTTTATCAAACTTACATAATTGTGCAGGTTCAGAACTAAGGCCTTCAGGTCCTGGCTCACAACTCACCATGCCTCACTTCGCTCCCAGCCATGCTTACATTGCAGTAAAGCACTATTTACAGTATAGTTAAGCCTTGTAGCAATTTGGCCACAAATAAAAAAAGGTCAGATATTCACAGCTTTCCTGTTAAACTTCATAAGCCACAAATTAGAAATTATTCATTTCAAAAACCTCAACAAAACAACATGTTAACTGAGCCTTTGCAGGTTACTCATCTAAATACATTTACCATGTTAATATCATATCATCACCTGAAGGTGACCAAAGACTATCTACAATGAGTAAGGCAAAGAATAAGTGAAACACAAACATATTTTGATAGGAAGAGGCAAGCTAGTTTTTCAGATTAAAAAATAAATGTAACAAACTGTTGACAGACAAGAATCACTTGTTGTAACGTGTGAAGCTGGATCATAGAAAGGTGAAGTCCATGTTTCTTCTGAATTTAACTCTGGTACATGTTAAGGCAGAAAGCAGCAGGAGTGCCACTGACGCCAAACAGCTTAGAAGTTTATTGTAAACATCCCATAAAGAATGGAAACAAATGAATGCAGTTTTTGTCTTTTAAGATAATTTCTTGTAACAACAGACAACTCTCAAATAAAACAGATTTTATAAACCAAATCAGTTTAGCTCACCATCTTATTTTTACTGAATTTGTTTAATGCATGTTTTGTCAATATGCAACATTACATCAACTACTAACTGATTGACTCTCTACCTTAAAACTTACGAAAAAATTATGAATACTAAGAAAAAAAAAACCCTAAGGTAGTTTTGTTAATACTGTGTAAGGGATTACAAATGGCAAGGACGATAAGAACCAGGACAAAGATACAAATTTCTGATTGCCATCAGCACAGTATTGTTTAAAGAATTTATAGTGCTCTCTAACGTGTATCTGACAACATATGTAGACTCACACTTCCCAATAAGATTTCTAAATATCTTTGTCTTAATTGCAACACTTATCAAGTCTTTTTTGTTTCTTTAGAAAGTACTTATCATGCGCTCAGATGTCAAAGTCTCATTCTAGTTTGAATTTAACATAGGCATAAGGATAACAAGTGGCATGCATATTAAAAAGTAAATACATCTTCCCAAACTGCTAGGACTTTTCTACAATTCTTAACCCTTCAGTGAATCACAACTCTCTAGTCTTGTTGACATGTGTAAGTTAGAGGTTAGGTTTCATCTTCATTGCAGAAAAAAAAAAAAAAAGAGGAGAAGAAACTCAGGACAAGAAAAGGGAAGCCATCCAGATTAAGGTTGTATACCAAATAACTACCGAGTGCTATTTATTAAAACACATCACCATGAAAAAGCTAGCTTTATATTGGTATTTAATCAAACCTTGGTTAAGGAAGATTACTAGGAGAAGTAAAACAAAAACCATGGAAATATTTTAATGCTGAATTTTTAAAAACGAACCTTAAAAGCGACCTGATAAAATTATTTTCAATAAAACTGTTTAAAAGTCTCATTTACTTCAAAAGTGTTGGGAATAGGATTACGATTTAAAACCGTGGACTTCATAAATGCATCCCCTTGCATGTGTCTAATCCAGTCCTGTAAGAACAGTCTACTCCTGTGAGACTTAACTTGCTCCCCAGAGTAAATAATTTCTCCCTCTTAAAGACCTAATTACCATCTCTTAAAGGGCTCATGACCTCAGCCACATTACACTGGAGACCAGGCTCCTAACGCATGGCTCTCTGAAGGATCAGTCCTGTCCAAACTGTGCTAATAACAGTCTTCTATTCTGTAAATTGGTTCATCTTGCTTTGCAGATGATTTTATTGTTGAAGTCTCCCCTGCATTTTCAACACTCTTGTGTTTAGTATGTTTCATGGCAGTATGCCATTGTCCATAACTACAGTGTCAAGGAACAAAATAACAGAATGATGGACTATGACTATTTTTGAAGGAATATACTATTGCAGTATTATAGGGGAAATCAGTGGGGGGAGGAGTTTTAGGGAGGGGGAAGGGGAAATCCCAGAGCCTTTGGAAATGCATCATATATAACAAAACAAAAACAAAAAAATATTGTTTTTCTTTCAGCATTAGCTTTTGGACCATTAAAATGAACATATTAGAAATTATGGCATGTCACCTTCAGTAATAAATAATTTAAAGAAAGCCTAAATGAGAATACTTGGGAAACATCGTTTAAGTTTTTAAGATACTTGGGATAAGTTAAATTTACATTCAGGTTTGAGGCTAACATTGCATTTTTACATCATAAATTAAGAGTGGGTATTTTATGTCAAAACCTAACTGATAAAAAAGCAGAGAGTCCAGAGATTTTCTAAGAAAATTCTTGATATATTCTCATTTTAATGTATTAAACATTAGACTGCAGAGATGAATGAACGCTTGAAGAAAATGGGAGAGACTTCCCTGAGAAACTTTCGAATGGATGTTGAACAAAGTTTGTACAAGTTTGAAGGAGAAGATTATAGAGAAAAACAAAAGGTAATATTTTATCCAGAACAATTAGACCCTCCAATTAACCTTTTTCCCCATAATAATCATAAAGTAACATTCCAAATTACTTGCAGGTGATTTTGTGGAACAACTTTTTTTAACTTAAGTAACATATATTCAGGTTTCCCACATGTTCTTTCATAGCTTGATATCTCTTTTTTAGTGCTGAGTAATATTCTATCATCTGAGTTTATCCATTTACCTACTGAAGGACATCCTGGTTACTTCAGTTACAAGTAAAGCTGCTATAACTACTTCTGGGGTGTTTGTGGACTGAATTTATTTTTGAATGTCTTGAGTAAATTTCAAGGAACAGGATTGCTGGATCCTAGGGTAAGAGGCTGTTTAGTTTGTAAGAAACTGCCAAAATACCTTCCAAAGTGGCTGTACCATTTTAGATTGCTAGCAGCGATGAATCAGAGTTCCTGTCGCCTTACATCCTGCCTAGCATTTGTTGTTGACAGCAGTACTTTGGATTTTCACCTTCGTTAGAAAGGTGAAATCGTTAGATGTGCAATGATTTCTCTGTTTTTCTTTAATTTTTTCTTTAGATTTGTTTATTTGAAAGGCAGAATTACAGAGAGAAAGGGAGGGAGGAAGGGATGGAGGGAGAGAGAGAGAGAGAGATCGACATCAATCTTCCATCCATTGATTCATTGATTCGTTCTTCAAATGGCTGTAGCACCAGGGCTTGCCCACATAAAAGCAAGAAGCCAGGAGTGAGGGACTGCTTTTGGGTCTCCCACGTGAGTACAGGGGCCCAGGCACTTGAGCTATCCTCTGCTACTTTCCCAGGCATGTTATCAAGGAAAGCATTGGAACAGCTGAGGTAGGAATTGGTGTCTGTATAGGATGCCAGCACCACAGGTGGTAGCTTAATCCCCAATGCCATGATGTTGGCTCCAGATTTTCAATTCTTTTAATGACGTATGTTGACTATCTTTTCATGTATTTAATTACTATCTTTCCGATGATACTTAACATAGTTTGTGGAATATGGGTTTCATTAAAAAAAAATAAAACTCTTAATAACTTTGTTGAGGTGGTATCTGCTGGGCTTCTCTTCTGTTAGCTAACCTTTCGGTAAGCTATCTTGAGGGAGATAGTCCTACAAGTTGGATTTCAGCATCTGTTGGTGGGGCTTCCCTGGGAGAGTTCTTTGTGTGCTGTTCGCCTCATTTCTCTCATGCCATCCAGAGTTAGTAATCAGGAGTTTTCTGTAAAAACACTCACTCTTTCATTTATTCATGTATTCAGTTATGTATCAGTGTGGACTTGTGATGTCTTGTTTCTTGAGTTATCATCCAATTCTACCATGTTATCACTGAGGTTATGCTATAAAGTTGCTATATTTTTGAATTGATGAAAACGAATGTTATGAATGTTAAAAACAGCTCATCTTTAGGTCTTGATTTTACCAAAATCTGAGGAGGGAGTCGTTTTAGTGGCTTTAGTATACTAATAATGCTTTGTGGCTGTCATTGCTGCTGATAGTTTTTAGGTTTGTGACTTATCTGCCTGATCTGTCTGTAGTCTTAAATATTGACCTTGTTGTGATGGAGGGAATGGTCTTGCTACACAGGGTGGAAATTGGCTTGCTAAGGAGCTTCTCAGATCTGATTATGTGATATGCACTTTATGCCTTTTATAACTATTCCTTTGAGTGTATCAGTATTAGAAGTGTTTGTAAAACAGAAAGATATTAAGCATTGGAGTGTTTTATTCACATTTTGGAGGAAAATGAGACTTACTAAAATATTTATTTGTATTGTTAACAGGTTTTCCTGTACTTTGGATTCCACTTAAATAAATAATGACATATAGAGAAATTTTAATAAAATTGGGATTATTTGTTTGTAAAAAAAATTGGAGCGTTTGATCATTATCGTAATGTTGAAAATCAAATTTTTTTGAATATTAAATTTTCTATCTTTTCCTTCATATTTTCTAGGTAGGTTTCACTAATAGGTTCAAATCATTCTTTCTAGAGATTTGAAAATCTGGAAGAATCGCTTGTAAATCATGAGGGGGCTAGTGTGGCAGAGCAGGTAAAGCTGCTGCCTACGATGCTGATATCCCATCATGGACACTAGTCTGAATCCAGGTTGCTCCACTGTCTGATAGTGACCTGGGACAGCAGTGGAAGTCGGCCCAAGTGCTCTGGCTGCTGCGCCCATGGAGCCCAGGAGAAGCTTCTGGCTACTGTTTTTGGCCTGATTTAGCTCTGGCTGTTGCAGTCTTCCAGGGATTGAACTAGCTAAGGATAGAAGAACTCTTTCTGTCTCTCCCTCTCTATATATAATTCTTTCAAATTAATAAATCGTTTTAAAAATCATGAGCATTTTAACTTGAGGTAGATTTTCATACATAATTTTTCAGAGATTTATTTATTTTATTGCAAAGTCAGATATACAGAGAGGGGGAAAGATAGAGAGGAAGATCTTCCATCTGCTGATTCACTCCCCAAGTGAGCGCAACGGCCAGAGCTGAGCTGATCTGAAGCCAGGAGCCTCTTCCTGGTCTCCCACATGGGTGCAGGGTCCCAAGGCTTTGGGCTGTTTTCAACTGCTTTCCCAGATCACAAGCAGGGAGCTGGATGGGAAGCAGGGCCACAGGGATTAGAACCGGTGCCCATATGGGATCCAGGCATGTTGAAGGTAGGGCTTTAGCCGCTAGGCTAAGGTGCCGGGCCCTCATACCTAATTTGTTAAACCAATTGTATTATTTGACCAGTGAACCTGGTAAATTAAATATGTGACAATTGACAGTGAACCTGAATAAACTAACATGAATAAATTAGTATTAATGTACTGTTGTCTAAAACAAACTAAATCAGTATGATTTTTTTTCTATTTTTGAAAGTTCTGGATTTGACCTTTAATGCCTATTTCAATTGGAATATGTAGGCCTTCAGGTAAGTGACCAAACAATTAGAAAATTAAGCTATTGTTGATTTCTTTTTACTCCAACTAAGGAAGACAAAATATTTCTTATTCATAAAATTTATTTTTCCATTCCTGTCACCTTACATTCATCTGTTTGGAGAAAAAGGCAGAATTTCTGTCATTGTTCTGAATGGTTCTCAAGCATCACATTATAATAGCCATATTACATAGCACACTACAGTTAAAAAGTACTTTAAAAGTCACTCAGGGCCCAGCGCGATAACATAGCTGCTCAAGTCCTCACCTTGTATGTGCTGGAATCCCATATGGGCACCGGTTCTAATCCCAGCGGCTCCACTTCCCATCCAGCTCCCTGCTTGTAGCCTGGGAAAGCAGTCGAGGACGGCCCAAAGCCTTGGGACTCTGCAAGTGCGTGGGAGACCCGGAAGAGGCTCCTGGCTTCGGATTGGCTCAGTTCCAGCTGTTGCAACCACTTTAGGAGTGATCATACAGAAGATCTTCCTCTCTGTCTCTCCTCCTCTCTGTATATCTGCCTTTCCAATAAAAAAGAAATAAATCTTTAATAAAAAAGTCAGTTACTCTAGCCTTTTTTTCTAACTAACAAATTCCATTTTATAGCATGTGGAACAGCTACCCAGACTTTGAGGACTGTAGTGTTGGAATCTTATCCCCCTCAAGACAGTTTAATCACTATGTTATGTTCTCTGGCTCTACAAAGAAGTCTTGATTGCCTTACAAGCTCCTTGGACAGAGATTACTATTTATTGATTTATTTATTGAAGAAAGAGCTTTGGTGGTAGAAAGGGAAAGAGATAGAGAGACGGGGTGGGGGAGAGATACATCTGTAGTTTGCTGGTTCACTCCCCAGAAGGCCCCAATGGATGAGGCTTGGCCAGCTTGAACAGGATCCAGGAGCTTCTTTTGGGTCTCCCATGTGAGTGGCAGGGGTCCAAGCACTTTGGTCATCTTGCATAGTTTTTCCTAGACAATTAGCAGGGAGCTGGATCTAAAGTCCAGCAGCCAGGGCTCAAACCAGCACCCATATGGGACACTGGCTTTGCAGGTAGCTACTTTACCAGCTATGCCACAGTACCAGCCCTAATTGAAGTTTAGTTTTTTCATCTTTCATCCTACTGTGTTCCTGACACTGACATGCATATAATATGGTAGGCACTTCGTTGCACAATTGTTATATTGAACAGCAATGTGCTTTCTTATAACTCATCAAATTAATTTTGACCTTTAACATTATGGATCCACGAAGAATTTAGGTCTTTTCAGTCAAATATGTGAATGACACCATTGTGTGTGTCTTTAGTCTCAGGCAATGTGAGTGTTCACAAATCTTTAACCATTCTGGTTGTCTTAGTTTATCATCCACTCTTAAAATACGATACCAGGCTTGGAACCCAGTCCTTGATAAGATATAATGGATTTGGGGCCTGACACAATAGTGTAGCGGCTAAAGTCCTCACCTTGTACGCGCCTGGATCCCATAGGGGCACTAGTTTGAATCCTGGTGGCCCCGCTTCCCATCCAGCTCCCTGCTTGTGGCCTGGGAAAGCAGTCGAGGACGGCCCAAAGCCTTGGGACCCTGCACCCATGTGGGAGACCAGGAAGAGGCTCCAGGCTCCTGGCTTTGGATTGGCTCAGCTCCAACCATTGGGGAGTGAATTAACAGACAGAAGATCTTCCTCCCTATCTCTCCTCCTTTATGTATATCTGCCTTTCCAATAAAAATCTTAAAAAAGATAAAATGGATTGGGATCACAGTAGATTAATGGCCTCTTTTAGACCCTTAATGACCTCTTTTATATAAAGGCATTGCTTAGTCACTGTGAAATCAAGTTATTTTTCAAATGTTTATTTTCATCCATGTGAAAGACAGCGCACATCCATCTTAGGATTTTCTCCACAAATTCCCTCAACAGGCAGGGCTGGGCCAGGCCAACATGAGGAGCTAGCAACTCCATGCAGGTCTCCCACGTGTAGCCAGGCCCCAAGGACTTGAATCCTCATCTGTTGCCTGTCAGGCCACATCAACAGGAAACTGAACTGGAAATGCAGGAGTGGGACTCAGCTCAGTGCTCTGATACAGGAAGTGGATGTTCCAAGTGGTAGCTTAACACACTGCCCCACAGTGCCTACCCCTTTCCTATTATTAGTTTTGTCTCTGGACAGTTTCGTTGTATTTTCTACGTGATAATGGAATAAAATCTTATGTTACCAAATCATTACTTGTACTCCTTTGGGTGTTCACTAATATCTTACGTTTAACTTGTGGCAGTTTGCCAATGTCTTCATGGATGTAATATTGCCATTTTACAAATGGGGAAAATATAAGTAATTCTCCCCAAAGTTACATAACTAGTGAAGTAGCAGAACCCAGATTCAAATCTAAGCCTTTCTGGTCCCAGCAGCTGTTCTCATAAAATGCAACTGCTTTTCCTGAATGTCTTATTTGAATGTTTCTCTTGGCTTCAAGGGAAATGTGCTTGTCATGTTGGTATTCTTCATTTTTTTTGTCATCTGCTTTTGAATATTGGAATCAATATTACTGTTCCTTTTATAGTAACATTGATTTAATTGTTTAATTGGACTTAAATGACTATGTGGATTGTACAAATTCTTTTTCATTACAAATAGTTTCAAAACATAGCTTTGAAAAGGAAAAGAATAGAAAATTGTTTTATGACCTAAACTAGTGTACAGTGCAAGTTTTTTGAACTTTGGTTACGTAACTGATTTACAAAGTGTATTTTGATTCTTTTATATATGAATATTCTTGTCAGATAGATATGTAATGCAGATACAGCATTTATTGTGAATGAAGCACTATGGCCTAGGTTTTCTCATGCTGCTGCAGCCTTGATGTACTTGATTTTGGTAAAGCGATTCAGAATAACTAACTCCCTTGTTCTTGTTTGTCATGTATGTAGCTTGGCATGGTGGAATGGATTGAACCTCCTAAACGAGAACGCAAAGCAAACTACGCAGTGGATGCTTACTTTAGAGAGGCTCTGCGTGTCAGTGAGCCGAAGATCCCAAAGGTAAACTGCTACAAGGCTGGGCTTTATGGCCTTCGGATTTTCTTCTAACATGGTCTGTGATCCTGTTAACTATATTATTGCTAAACCATGGTGTCTTATTATAGCGATATGAAGAAGCACTTCATCTGGGCCAGCCATATCAGTGGATTTCTGTTGTATTTGTTTTTCCATATTTTCACTCTATGTGTGTGTGTGTGTATATGTATATGTATATGTATATGTATATGTAAAACACCTTCTTCTTTCACAGGCTCCACGTCCTCCAAAGCAGCCAAATGTTCAGGACTTTCAATTTTTCCCACCACGTTTATTTGAACTTTTGGAAAAAGAAATTCTTTATTATCGAAAGACAATAGGCTATAAGGTAATATTTTGGTCTTTTAGACTAGTATAATGCTGCCTTTAAAAATAATAGTTTGTTAAGCTAGAGTATTTGTTGTTTCATATTAATGTGAGAGAATTTAAGAATTTAAGAGTAAATCAGAATGGTGTTTTTCAAACCAAAGAGGGGCAGACTTTAGATGCTGGTTAAGATACCAGTTAAGGTGCCTGTGACCAGTGTAGGGGTGTCTGGATTCAGCGCTTGTCTTTGGCTCCTGACTCAAGCTTCCTGCTAATGAAGACCTTGGTAGGGAGTGGTTCTGTCCCAAGGGATTTGGTTCCCGCTCCCCACATGGGTGACCTGGATTCTTTTTCTGACTGTGGGCTGATCCAGTCCCAGCCATTGTGGGCATTTAGGGAGAGAAGCAGCTGATGGGAATCTATACTCTTTCTCTGTCATCTGTCTTTGCATGTCTCTTGAATACGTTAAAGAGGGAAACAAAGAGGAGGTTTAACTGAAAATAAACCATCAGTCACTGAATTACCAATAGGATCATGATTAAGTGGTGTCACTGCAGAGTTATCCAATATTTGAAATAGAAATAATAATATGTTAATAATGTGAGTATTTGAATATTTGAAGACTATGGACAAAGATCGGTACGCAGGTAGTTCATTAGAACTGAATGTTGATATGTGATAGGAAAATTCTGACCATTTTCTGGATAGGGCTAAAAAATAATTTATCTCTGTTTATTGCCCACACGTTGATGAAAGTTAGTATCTTAGTAGTTAGTATGTGGTTATTTCGGTATTAGATAATGATAATTACATAATATAAAAATGGTTATTTGGAATTCAAAATTCTTATTTATGTAGGTAGATAGAAATGAATTTTTGGTGAGTGTAAATTATATTTATCACAGTAACTGTTGTACTGATGGGGTAAGCAATACTAGGTTATATTTTGATGTTAGAATTGACTTCCTAGTGCAAGACCAGGGATGACCGAAAGTAAAATAATCACTAGTGTATGTAAAATTATAAAAACATTAACACTGTTATAATTTTATAAATCAGGAACTATGTTTTTATTTTTTGAAATTTTATCACAGTTGGGACTTTGACCAGATTTTGATTAGTAGCTGGAATATGCCTGGAAAATTTCATGAAGATATTTTGTTTTTTCATTTATGTTCTGGATTTGGGGTGGATCTTTGGAGGTGTGTTATTTGTCCAGACTAGGTAGGTTGCTCTTTGCATCAGCAACAAACAAAAGAATAAGTAAAGAAAAAATGTTGCTTTGTATGATATATTAAAGTTTAAAAATTTATAAAAAAGAACTAAAAAGTTTAAGGGTCATGTCAATGGGTAATGTTATAATCTAGGGAAATATGTTTAAGTTCAAATGTGCAGTTTGTCCCTGCATATCTATGGTCAATGCATCTGAAGATTCAACCATGGATCAGAAATATGGCAAAAATATTGCTTCTGTACCAAACATATACAAAATTTTTTTCTTGTCATTATTCTCCAAACAATACAGTGTAACAATTTACATAGAATTGGAGTTGTATTCTGGAGATGATTTAAGGTATATGGGAGGGTGTGCAGCGTTCTGTGCAAATGCTAAATTATTATATATAACTATAAGAGACTTGAGAATCTGTCCATGGAACCTCTATTCCTTGGGGTTAACAAGAGATGACTGTATTGAGACCAACAGGACTAGACCAAATCCTTGTAAGGAAATTGTGGAAGAGCAGAATAACTATAATTGAACTTTTAGATCAGGCATAAAGCCACTTTTAAAGAAAGTGAAAGCAGAGATGTGGCAGAAGAAACTATTAAGCTACAGGTTAAAAATGAAAGTAATAAAATTAATAATAGAGTAGTTTAAAAATAACACAAGGTGAGCAAATGTCTATCATTTCACCAAGGTTTGCGATATTTTAGTTTTATGTATTACTTTTTGTTACTTTTATTGACTGTTATAAGAGTTGAAAAGAAAATTGGTTGGAATGTTAGACTTCTATTAGTAATAAACCATGTTTGTATAGGGCATTTTATAATGTGCAAAACGCTATAACACATTTCATTTGATTCCTACAAGTCACATGAAGTAGCTGTTATTATCACCTTCATGTACTAGGCAAGGAAACGAAAGTTCAGGGAGAAGATTAACCTTGTTCAAGGTCACATAGCTAATAAGGTTGCCATGGGAGCTGGTTTCAGACCCTAGTTCAGAGTATTCGAGTGCTGTGCTCTTTCCACTCTGACATTCTGGGCTATTTCTGCATGTGATATAACCCTGTGTCTTGCTACAGTCCTAAATAAGGACTGTGTTTATAGTGGTGTGGCATGTTGTTTGGGAAATGTGCCAAGTGGTAGTCAAATAGCAGCAATAAAAAATCAGAACTGATGATAGAACTGTTTATGCTCCTTCTTTGGAGATTCTGAGATTTTGTTCCTTATGATAATTGCATGTCCACTGCGTTCTGGCCACAGCTCTGATTTGAATGTAAACATTGCCTTTCATTACAGGCAGTTTGTGGTTATAGGGGTGAGGGCTTACAGTGACTGTTTGCATGGGAGCCAGCTGGCAGAAGGTGGAGGAGAGAGGAAACCTCAGAAGACGTAGGAATGCAGGGACAGCTGCAAAGGGTAATGGAAAGAAAGGAGAAGGTGTAAGAAGAGGATCGGGATGAGAGAGGGAAGATGCAAACCAGTGCAATGTTTTTAACTTAGGGAAGTGGGTGAGCGAACGATGAAACATCAACAGACATATTTTGATCTATGGCCAGACCGACCTGAACACACCTGATCTTGGAAGCTAAGTAGGGACGGACCTGGTTTGTACTGGGATAAGAGATATGTATTTCATCCTGGCTTGCATTACTTTTTGTTTCAAGTTCTTTATAGATATTAGCTTCTTATCCTCATGACAGCCATAGAACCGAATGGTTGTTTACAGGTGAGGAACCTGGAGCATAGAGAAGTTGAACGGTTTCTCTTGTAAGTGTTATAGTGTGGTTGGACTTAATCTTGAAAAGCTCAATTGGTGATGTACAGAATGGCACGGACACCAGTCAGGAGGCTTTTGGAGTATGAAAATGAGAGAAGATGGTGGTGACTTGGATTGTGATGGTGGAGAGAACAGATTTGATGGTCTACAATTCTACTCCTAGTCTTGGGCTCTCTTCAGGCCCATTCTGGATTACCATTGTGTTGTCATAAGACTTGCTTTGGACATTCTTTCTATGCTCAGAATTCTTTCCAACTGAGAATTTACAAGACAAATAGGAACACATCCTGGATGTTGGTCCTTTGTGAGCCTTGTCTCTTTATTCTTTGTGAAGAACTTAAGGACTTAAACTAAGGTGAAATTTTCAATTGACTGAGTTTTGTATTTGAGTTCAAAGTATGGAGAAATTAGCATGGTATGTTAATCATTGCAAAATCCTTCTTTCAAGCAGTATATGATATATAGTGATTAAACATGTCATTGAACATAGACTTTTCTCCCATATAGAAAACTCGTCAGGGCCACAGTGAATGGGGGGAGGGCACTGATTTATTCTTAGATCAATAAAACTGCTATAATGGAGTTACCTAGTGTACACAATCAGGATCCCCCAAAGGGACTTATCCATACTTTATACTTAGAATATTGTTACTCAGGGGGAGCTACGTGTTGTTCATGGCCAGGATTCATTGGGGATCCTGGTTCAAAAGTGTTTTCCTTGAGGATCTGCTTAAGTGCATTTCTCTTTCCTCTTTTTCCTCCACCCCCATCTTCACCAGCAAGAGGTCACATCAATATTATTGATAAGGATAGCTAGGGTTACAGGGTATTTGAAGCTGAGAAAAGTGTTTTGCCCTAGCCACTTGATGGCTAGCAGTGCATTATGTGTCGATTATTCCCACTAGCTAAGGCTTGAGATCTTGTTACACGTCAGGCATATTCACAAGCTTCATTGCTTCTGCAGCTTAAAAGGAGTTATTTAATGCATTCAATTACTTGTTCAGTAAAATCTTTACATTGGAAGAGGATGACTTAATTGAAATTTCAATTACAGCATGAAAATATGGAATGTCTTAGTTCATTCAGTCTAAGACCTAGAGTGCCAGAATTTTGCCGTGTTTGGAGCTGAAGAAAGCTGTAGAATATTTCCCACTTATTTAATTAATTAGGGACTAAGTGAAACATTTGACAAGTGGAGGAAGCTCTAAGTGTTCTGAGTTTTGGTGATAGGTCATTGTGGGCCACCTACTCTGCAATACTAGAATCAAAACATGATGAGCTGCTGTCAGGTCCCTGTTTTCAGTTTATGGGCTGTTATAGTTAATTCAGTATGTACTTGCTAAACTCCTTCCAAGAAACAATCAATATCCTCACCCCCAGTTTCTTTTTTCCCCCGCTAGATCATGGACCCCAGCTCTTCATCCCAAATTCCTTAGGATCTGTTTGGAAACCGAAATAACAGTTGAGATACTTCCTTTTGAAGGATAACTTTTTTTTTGTATTGTTAGGAACTATAGTAGGATGTGAAGTCTGAGTACTTCAGCCACCTCTTAGGTATCTGTTCATTGGTAGTGGTTTATACTTAGTCTAGTTCTTACATGGCAGTTCTTTTGCATAGAAATTCAAATTTATTGATATTTTTATACTAAGCTATGCAAAGTTATAACAGTTTGGTGTACATTTGATCATTCTAAGCTATTATGTTTAATTAATGTAAATACTATGACTTTCTTTTTTTTCTTTTTTAAAATATTTTTATTTTGAATTTTGAATTATGTGGTACATTTTTGTATAGGCTGGGATTCCGTCCCCAAACTACCACCCCTTGTCAGATTTTTCCCATTTTGTTACAATAGTGTAGTCCTTCATAAGGAATCCTAATTCCATCAGTCTCTTATTTAAGTGTACCCTGACATTGTTGGTACAGACAATGTCAATCAGTCCAGCATCCCATTGTCTACACATGTCCAGCAGTTTCATTGGGAATTCACCTTTCGTCTGGATGCAGCGATGCATGT